TCAGGGGCCAATTGGGTGTCGAAAAATGACATTTTTCCACATGCTCACCTGAGATACGAAGGAGAGTGTATCTAGTGTAAAACGTCTAACTGTCTTATGGCAGCAGAAATGGAGTGCTTTATGACCAGATAGTAAAGGAAACAGGAGAAGAAAGCAACAACAGATTATTACTCAGACAGTAAAGGAAACAGGAGAAGAAAGCAACAACAGATTATTACTCAGACAGTAAAGGAAAGAGGAGAAGAAAGCAACAACAGATTATTACTCAGACAGTAAAGGAAACAGGAGAAGAAAGCAACAACAGGTTATTACTCAGACAGTAAAGGAAAGAGGAGAAGAAAGCAACAACAGATTATTACTCAGACAGTAAAGGAAAGAGGAGAAGAAAGCAACAACAGATTATTACTCAGACAGTAAAGGAAAGAGGAGAAGAAAGCAACAACAGATTATTACTCAGACATTAAAGGAAAGAGGAGAAGAAAGCAACAACAGATTATTACTCAGACAGTAAAGGAAAGAGAAGAAGAAAGCAACAACAGATTATTACTCAGACAGTAAAGGAAACAGGAGAAGAAAGCAACAACAGATTATTACTCAGACAGTAAAGGAAACAGGAGAAGAAAGCAACAACAGGTTATTACTCAGACAGTAAAGGAAACAGGAGAAGAAAGCAACAACAGGTTATTACTCAGACAGTAAAGGAAACAGGAGAAGAAAGCAACAACAGATTATTACTCAGACAGTAAAGGAAACAGGAGAAGAAAGCAACAACAGATTATTACTCAGACAGTAAAGGAAACAGGAGAAGAAAGCAACAACAGATTATTACTCAGACAGTAAAGGAAACAGGAGAAGAAAGCAACAACAGATTATTTTTCAGACAGTAAAGGAAACAGGAGAAGAAAGCAACAACAGGTTATTACTCAGACAGTAAAGGAAACAGGAGAAGAAAGCAACAACGGGTTATTACTCAGACAGTAAAGGAAACAGGAGAAGAAAGCAACAACAGGTTATTACTCAGACAGTAAAGGAAACAGGAGAAGAAAGCAACAACAGGTTATTAATCAGACAGTAAAGGAAACAGGAGAAGAAAGCAACAACAGGTTATTACTCAGACAGTAAAGGAAACAGGAGAAGAAAGCAACAACAGATTATTACTCAGACAGTAAAGGAAAGAGGAGAAGAAAGCAACAACAGATTATTACTCAGACAGTAAAGGAAAGAGGAGAAGAAAGCAACAACAGATTATTACTCAGACAGTAAAGGAAAGAGGAGAAGAAAGCAACAACAGATTATTACTCAGACAGTAAAGGAAAGAGAAGAAGAAAGCAACAACAGATTATTACTCAGACAGTAAAGGAAACAGGAGAAGAAAGCAACAACAGATTATTACTCAGACAGTAAAGGAAACAGGAGAAGAAAGCAACAACAGGTTATTACTCAGACAGTAAAGGAAAGAGGAGAAGAAAGCAACAACAGATTATTACTCAGACAGTAAAGGAAAGAGGAGAAGAAAGCAACAACAGATTATTACTCAGACAGTAAAGGAAAGAGGAGAAGAAAGCAACAACAGATTATTACTCAGACAGTAAAGGAAAGAGGAGAAGAAAGCAACAACAGATTATTACTCAGACAGTAAAGGAAAGAGGAGAAGAAAGCAACAACAGATTATTACTCAGACAGTAAAGGAAAGAGGAGAAGAAAGCAACAACAGATTATTACTCAGACAGTAAAGGAAAGAGAAGAAGAAAGCAACAACAGATTATTACTCAGACAGTAAAGGAAACAGGAGAAGAAAGCAACAACAGGTTATTACTCAGACAGTAAAGGAAACAGGAGAAGAAAGCAACAACAGGTTATTAATCAGACAGTAAAGGAAAGAGGAGAAGAAAGCAACAACAGGTTATTACTCAGACAGTAAAGGAAACAGGAGAAGAAAGCAACAACAGATTATTACTCAGACAGTAAAGGAAAGAGGAGAAGAAAGCAACAACAGATTATTACTCAGACAGTAAAGGAAAGAGGAGAAGAAAGCAACAACAGATTATTACTCAGACAGTAAAGGAAAGAGGAGAAGAAAGCAACAACAGATTATTACTCAGACAGTAAAGGAAAGAGGAGAAGAAAGCAACAACAGATTATTACTCAGACATTAAAGGAAACAGGAGAAGAAAGCAACAACAGATTATTACTCAGACAGTAAAGGAAAGAGGAGAAGAAAGCAACAACAGATTATTACTCAGACAGTAAAGGAAAGAGAAGAAGAAAGCAACAACAGATTATTACTCAGACAGTAAAGGAAACAGGAGAAGAAAGCAACAACAGATTATTACTCAGACAGTAAAGGAAAGAGGAGAAGAAAGCAACAACAGGTTATTACTCAGACAGTAAAGGAAAGAGGAGAAGAAAGCAACAACAGATTATTACTCAGACAGTAAAGGAAAGAGGAGAAGAAAGCAACAACAGATTATTACTCAGACAGTAAAGGAAAGAGGAGAAGAAAGCAACAACAGATTATTACTCAGACAGTAAAGGAAAGAGGAGAAGAAAGCAACAACAGATTATTACTCAGACAGTAAAGGAAAGAGGAGAAGAAAGCAACAACAGATTATTACTCAGACAGTAAAGGAAAGAGGAGAAGAAAGCAACAACAGATTATTACTCAGACATTAAAGGAAAGAGGAGAAGAAAGCAACAACAGATTATTACTCAGACAGTAAAGGAAAGAGGAGAAGAAAGCAACAACAGATTATTACTCAGACAGTAAAGGAAACAGGAGAAGAAAGCAACAACAGATTATTACTCAGACAGTAAAGGAAACAGGAGAAGAAAGCAACAACAGGTTATTACTCAGACAGTAAAGGAAAGAGGAGAAGAAAGCAACAACAGGTTATTACTCAGACAGTAAAGGAAACAGGAGAAGAAAGCAACAACAGATTATTACTCAGACAGTAAAGGAAACAGGAGAAGAAAGCAACAACAGATTATTACTCATACAGTAAAGGAAACAGGAGAAGAAAGCAACAACAGATTATTTTTCAGACAGTAAAGGAAACAGGAGAAGAAAGCAACAACAGGTTATTACTCAGACAGTAAAGGAAACAGGATAAGAAAGCAACAACGGGTTATTACTGTGGGAAGAGGAAGCATGCTAAGCTTACAGAGAGCAGTATTTGTATGAGATCTTTGTACTTCGTCTGTGCCTATATCACGTCCACAGAAATAGTGTACCTACATGTATGTCATCTGAAAAGGGGGCGTAACTTCTAGTCGATCACATTTTCTAAATAAATGTACCTGAAAGGTGTTAAAAATGTATGTCTGTTAGTTCCTTTTTCTTTTTATGTACGGTTGCCTTTTATCAATTTTGTTGTTCATTTGTGGTACAGGACTTTCTGGAAACATTTTATTGGCGAGTCTCAAAAATCATTTTGAAGATAATTTTATTGCATCATTGATTTAGAAAAGAAAACTCTTAAAAAAATCATAAAAGCATTTTATATTTCTTGAAACAACGTTTGGTGAGATATTGTACATTTCGCTAAAATGATGTTGGAATTCAATCAGTTGATTCACAAAAATTCATCATGTTATGCAATCCTTATTTTTAGACATAAATAGGCAGCATAAAAATTGTATTATGGTAACTAGAAGTGCTCACCTCGTCACTATAGGAATATAGGGCGACAGAAGACGAGAGAGCTCGCCATACGAGACCTCTTTAATATGCAGATATTAATCCAGTGGATCTTGGCTTCCTAACTTATATCCATTTTGCATGATTGTTGAACTTCGAAGTTCTTGAATGCTTTTGAAATGAAGAAATCAATAGAAATATTGTTTATGATAATTTGAACTTTGGAACTTAGAAAAAATTGTCAACACCATTTGGAATTATCAACAAGGCAGTAATCGTGTTTCCACAAATTTCAAATTTTGCCGTTTGAAAGTCAGCATTTTAATTCTTATGTCAACTTTTTTCTCGATGTTTCTTCGTTGGGAAATGCAATGAATACAGTACTTGTATTTATCTTAACTCTTTTCGTCATTGAGATTTTTTCATACGTTAATGTCTTTGCACTCAATGGAGTAATTAAGCTGTAGACATCTTCAATTCAGAATAGTTTCTTATGTGTTATTTTCAAGACTGTTTTGATATCGGTTGCCATATTTTTCAATAAACTAGAGCACATTTTTTTGTTAAGCATAAACAAATTGCAATGTGTTGAATTGGAAAAAAAAGTTTTAGCATGCATGTAATTCAGATTCAGTGCAGATGTTAAATTTCTACATCTTTGGTAATTATTATCAGATACCTTTCTGCTTATTTTGAACCAATATTTGTCATATGTAGTAACACCTTCTCTCTTTGTGAAAAAAACAACCTCTTTCATACATGTACATATATTGGGTAAAATTCTAGCACCTGCTTTCACAAAAACAACAAATATTGAGTAAAAGTCGGGTATCTATCACGAGTACCTGCTTACACAAAACAAATTTACATAAAAAAGTCTTTCATTATTTATATGTGTGAAGCTTATCAAATAAAGTACCTATCACCCGTAATTGTGTGGTAATTTTACAATCCCTATAGAAGGCACCCATTAACAGACTCGTAGTTTAATTGTTTGGGTCGAATTCCCATTGCTAACTTAACAAAGCAATATCTTTAATTCTTCATATTTATACAGTATTGCATTGTCTGCAAATCAGAGACGGATATCTACTTTCCAACGAAAAATCTAAACATTTAAACTAAAGGTCGTCATTAAGATGCGAAAGATAAATTGAAATTTAATACAGACCATCTTCATAATTAATGAACCCGGATAAAGAGGGTATTGTGCGTGTCACATTTTTCAAGCGCCCACAGATAAAAAAAAATATAGAAGTTCGCAAAATAACATCATTGCAAGTATGAATTCATTCCGTAAATTGATGTTAAAAAGTGGTGAAAGACAGGCCACCTAATGCTCATTCGTTAATTAGCAATTTACCGAGCTTCCTTCGCGACACTAGCGCACCATTTCTATAGAGCTGCGAGATCGCATTTCGCACCAGCCCTAATGGTCGCAAGCGGAAACAAGAGAGCGTGTTTGTACTGGGATGATGTTCCGATAATCTTTTGTTATAAGTTTTTGTGATATCATAATCTGTAAATTTCCTCTGTGACGGACACAAGTCACAACTCTTAAACACGTCAGTTCTTTCTCTTCATTATAACTCCTACTGTCTTCTGATTGGTTAAGCGTCTATAAAACTGTAATTCCGCGTTGCGGACATCCACTTTGAATTTGGTTTCTTTCCAGTATCCACTATGATGTGTTTTGCAAGGTAAGGTTACTTACATTTCATTTATGTCCATCTATGCAATCAAAGTTTTCATTTACAAAAATTACAATATCCTTGGTTTTATCCACAAGGAAGAAATGAACAAAAAGGAATTGGAATTTTATTATATAACTTATTTTTTTATCTTTACTTGAATTGTATTTTGATATATGTATTGGCATATAAAATAGCGCAATGTAAACTTTTCACAGCTATCAAAATAAAATCCATTGTTATTTGTTTAATCAAGGTTTAAATCATAATGATTAATTATATAAATAAATAAAATTATTATTTAGATTTTGAGAAAGGAACGATGGGAGATATTCTTTTATCTTCACGATATTTGCAGAGCTTTTAGCCACACATTATGTAGCAGTTTAAATCAACTAAATTAAGTGATTTTTGATATCTTAAAAAATTATATTAAAAGTATATAAAATCGGTGTAAATTTCCCACAGCTATACGTATATGGTTACGGCTTTGCTTTCAGTAGCAGCATGCTGAGACTATTTGTGGTTGCCTTCTGGACATTAACAATTGTGTTCAAACAAACACAGGGACTGTCTGCACTTGAAAATCTTCTAGCAGAGGAAACTAAAGACGATTATTTGAGGGATGTTGAAGCTGATGATTCGATGCTTGATCAGAGGGCACGGGAAGAAGGTGGGATCTAATGATATCCATTAATCTAATCCTAGAACAACATGAACAGATTAAAATATTGTTAATGGTCGCATGAGCATGTCAAAAATTACTCTATTAGTTTCTGGCTCCGACTTTCTGTTAATTTGTAAATGAATTTTGTAAATGTATCGAAATATAATGTTCAAAATTTGCGCATTAGTGTGACTTAAAAGTGCATTTTCCAAAGTACACGTCCTGATTGTTTTCAATGCGGAACGACCAATTACATATCCTTTTCGATAGTATAAACATTTAGCACGAAAAAAAACTTCGTGCCATTGAGATAATATTTTTTAAACGTTTAAAATTTTAAATTTTCCGAATGTATCAAATTTATCAATATTTATTAAATTTATCATTAATGGACTTTTTCCAGAAAAGGTAAAGACACCTTAAAATAAGGTAAATTAATGATGTCTAGAAAATTCATCATTGTTTCTACGTTTGATAGATATTGCAAACCAAATTTGTCGAGCATGGATGACATAAATTTCAAAATATTTGAATTACAAACTGACGCAATTTTGAATTTACTGAGGATTATTTGTGTTTTTGTTAAAGGCGTTCATTGCAGAACATTTCTTTTCAATTTAGATTTAAGAAAGCTTATTTTAAAGAAACTGCGATTTCGAGATCTTCAGAATGATTCAACAGCAGAGGGTCTCAGTAGCTTAGGTATGTATTGTCATTCTTATTTCTCTCATTAAATCGCACGGTGTAATAATTCGTTTCACTTGTCATAAAAAAAAATAACCTCTTTAATAATAATATTTTATAATTTTTAATCTCAAATGTTTATTAGTCTTGTATATTTACACTCCATGGGCTTCCTTCGATAATTCTCGAAAAATATTTTTAAAAATAATTTTATTTGTCAATGCAAAATAAACAAGACGTTCAGCTGCTATTTGAAAAAAAAAATAGACTAAATATATTCATGCATTTAAAAATAAACTTTAAATACATAATATATCGTAAAAAAATATGTATACCATTCAATTTGGCACAGACTTTCTTTGATCAATGACAATGTGCAATGCAAAAAGAGAAAGATCATTCAGTACTAAAATATTCATAAAGAATACACTTCGGGAGTGCAAAACCGGAAGTCTTTATTCTACAATCAATAATACCTGCAAATGTCTTGGTAGAAGGAATCTAGACATAAAATACATGAAATATTTTCATGATATATTATAAGTTGAGTTATCGTGGTAGAAGGTACTTAGCCGAGATGGGAAATGCCGGTAGACTTTGATAATTGGATAAAATTTGTCATAATTGTATCTACTAAAATTGAACCGAATGTAAATAAATGGAAAATAATATTAATTTGAATTTTTGTTCTAGGAAAAAAGTTTCTAAGATATATTTTTTTTTAAACAATGCTCAAAATATATTTTTTACGTACTTTTGTATACCAAGGATGAAAAAGTCTCTTCACCTATTTGCTTCAGTATTTTGGTTTAATCTGCCAATTTTTTCTTCACTATGCTTAGGTGCTTTTCAGTATGCTTATTTCTCAATGACTGGACCAGATTTTGTGTACATGTTTTTTTTTTATCGCCAGAAACAAGTGGATTTTTGTATTTTTTCCCCCGTTATTTTTATTTTATACAATGTTAATAGAAGTAAGGTTTATTTGAAGAATAATGCTTTTTTTGTTGTTGTTGTATTCATCTTAATCATAACGAACGGAAATTTAGAGATATTCCCCGCTGCACTTATGTTCTCAGAATATTGACGATGTTATAGGGTTGTACAAAGATAAAAATGAAGAGAACAAGAAGACATTTCAAAACTGGGTATCTAGTTTAGATTTAAAAACCCCAAATGATTTTTCTGGGCTACTAGTATACTCCGACTTGCCTTTTGCATATTTTCAGTCTTTTCTCTTCTTTTTCTCTTTGTATTTTTTTTTTTGGAAGTTTCTTGTTTTAATGACAATTCTTTTCCCTATGTTTGTTGTTATTTGTGTGTGTGTGTGTGTGTGTGTGTGTGTGGAGGGGGGGGGGGTCTGTTTAATTTTGTTGTGTTGTTTTTGGTGTTTGATTTTTGTATTCATATACTGGACTATATATTACTAGTGATGTATTTTTCCTTTGTAATGCCCCGTTACCCTTTTCATTATTGCTCAATAATTAATTGATGCTTAACCCCTCTCCCCACCCCCTCTTAAGAAACTAAAGCTATTTTCAGGTCTTTGATATGACAGAGAATGTTTTTCAAAATCCAAATTTCAAATAATCAAAATCACCCCACTGTGTGATATTTTAAATACTTCATATGACCTTTATATACAAAGTGGCATTTCGCTTATGGTTTCTTCTTTGAATGATCAAATCTTGTGAACTTTCTCATAATCGTCATGTATGTTATATTAGAGTTTGGCATCAACTATGGAAACCAAACATTAAACAAAAATATAAAGTTAAAATTAATTTATTTTTCTATTTTTAGTGAAGCGAGTTCCGGATTCCTATCGATTTGGGGATTCTTTGGTGGACAAGGTGGCGGCGTTACTTCGCTTTAAAATGCGCCCAACAAAAAGTCCTCAAGTCAGGATGCCCAGTCTCCGATTTGGCTGAGCAAAGTGTTGAGAACTGTAAAATACAGAAATGGATTAGCTTCGTCTATAGGATGCATAAATAATAGATCAATTTACCATTCATTTGTAAATTTATACGGCAACTGTATTACATGAACAATTTACAGCCCCATGATATTTCTTGTAATTTTGTTTCTTTAAATATTGGATATAAAAATTCGAGTACTTAAACGTTATTAGTAAAATTTCACATGTTTGATCGTTGTCAGGGTTTGGAAGAATTCCGCTTTGGGAGAGAGAAGATGCCATTAAAGTCTATTATGAAATCAAATATTAAATATTTGAAATAAAGAACTATAAAACATCGGAATCAAAATGTCGTTAAAATTTGGTGGGAAAGAACATGTCTTATAATTGTGACGAATATATAATCAAATTACAATCTATAGAAATTCAAATTATAGAATATTTGAAGAAAAGAAAACTAGAATATTATTGATATCTTCACAAGTGTAAAAACTAATTACTCAAAATTTCGTTTTAGTAAATGCTACTAAACTCGGCCATGAAATCAAATTTAGAAATATTTCAAGAATTCGATATATTTCGTTGAAGAAACCGAAAATGTCATTTGAGCGAGAGGTTGCTGAACTGAACTTATCGTGAATGGTGCTAAATGGTAAGCAACTTTCTCATAAACGTCACAGGTTTCAAAAAGACAAGTCCATTTGATATTTATTCGCTAATTATCGCTACATTTTTTATTTCTTTTTCAATCAACGGTCGACATGTAACATTCTGAATACAAATATTTGTGTATCACATTCAAAAACAAAGACCCTTTTAAAGATATTCTTAAATAAAAACATTATGATTTTCCTGCATCCAAACAGATAAAAGCCGAGATTTTTTTTTCAGCAAAGGATTTTCTGTCTTTGAACTTCCATGTAAACCCAGAAGTTTCAGTGCACATTTAAAAAACCGAACACAGATATAAACGGACAAGTATAGATTAAAATTAGATTGAAAGTGATAAAACTGCAGCGTTTATAGTAAATGTTCAATAGGTTGGGACCAATCACCCAAATGGATATAATAACCGATCTGGGATATAATATCCCAAATGGGATATTTTTGTAAATTTAAGTGCAAAAAGAAAATTTTTATTTTGGCTATAAATATGAATCCCTATCAAAATACTTAAAAAGGAAAAACTTTCGGCAAGCAGGTTTTTCTGCAACTCTACAGTTTCTTAGATTGATCTTCAAGAAGTTTAGGAATTTCCGAGAGATCTATTTCTTAAACAGTGGGCATACAGAAAAAATTAAACTTGTTAACCAAAAGTTATTCCTTTTTAGGTATCTTGATGCGGATTAATGATATTTAAAACCAAAATAAATTTTCTTCTTTTTTTTTTTTTTTGCACTGTAAATTTATATCTCATTTTGGATATTATATCCCAAACGTGCTATTATATCCTATTTGGGTGATTGGTCCCAACCTGTTCAACACGTCTCTATCTTTTACTGCCGTGAAGGTGAAACTTCAGATATACTGTGCCACAATATATGCAAGAAGTATTGAAAATCAAATCTTGATACTCAAATATTTCAAGGAACTTTGAAAAATTTAAAGTCAATCCCCCCCCCCCCCCCATAATCACGAACATCGAAACGTATTATTTTCAACACTTTATACAACCATTCCTAATTTTGAAAAAAATAAAAACAAAAACAAAAGAAACAAAAAAAAAAAACAGGCGTTTTTGACATAATAGACAACTGCTTCTTTAAGAAAAATGAAACTTGGAAATTATATCTTTTGATTGGTTATTTCAAACTAACTTTGTTAAAATACACACAAGTACTCTAAAATTGATATCAAACAGATGCTGGAATTTCTCAGTGACAAGACTAATATTTACATTTTCACAGAGTCTGTCACATGTTTTCATATTTGGATGTTTTATTGACTTTATTTGATTATGGTCAATTAATCACTAAACTATGTGACAAACGGGATGACATCAACTTTGCTGTCGTCTACTTTCCCTACACTTACGGGTATGTAGTAATATTTTGGGATCACCCGCATATAATGTTTTTGTCTTCAAACTAATTCGATACGCAAGAGCATGTTCGTCATGAATACGATCAATTTATAAACCGAGGCATGCTCCCCCCCCCCCCCCAAAAAAAAAAATACGTTGATGTTACAGGGCTTTTAACAATTTCGCTTAAGGTAAACATTTCGAAAATTCGATGTTCATTATAGTGACCTTTTCTACAAATACAACCTATCGTTAGGTCGTATTTTGACTGACATGTTTCACTCCAATTGTTAGGCCATTGTTTTATACTTATTTTGACTTCGGCTCACTCCGTTTGCCTGAACAATACAGAGATATATGAAGATAACAAACAATAATCAAGCTCAAATATCCACTGAAACAATACAGATTGGAAGTGGAGCTAGTAAACACGAACCTCTCAAAGCATCAGAGGTGGGATCAAGTGCCATGGGGGAGTAAGTATCCAGTAGTCGACCTTTCACACCCGTCGTGTGCGTCTTGTCATGATCGGGCAAGCGGAAAAATCTGCAGACAATTCAGAGTGAAAATAATGGCCTTACAATTTGTTTGAAAAACGTCAATCCACATTCGGCTTAACGATCGATTGTATTTGCTTACAAGGTCCTTGTATTGACAATATTTTTCTTTGTCAATAGCTTTTCTTGTTTTAGAAATTGTTCGTACCTAGAACATGCTCTTGCGTATCGAATCAACTGGGAGTCATAAAGTCCATATGCAGATGATACTGGTTTGTTTGTCGTTTAACGTCCCTCTCGAGAATTTTTCACTCATATGGAGACGCCACCACTTGCCGGTGGAGAGCTGCAAATTTTGACCTATACTCGGCCTTAGGGCCATTGAGCAGTGAGGGATCTTTTTTGTGCCAGCACCTACTGCGACATAGGACTCGGTTTATACGGTCTCATTCAAATGACCAGTCTCCACATCCCGCAGTGGATTCGAACCGGTGACGTAAACCAACTTCTTATACTGCGATTCTTGAGCAGGCGCTCTAACCACTGCGCAACGCGGGTGACAGATGATACTGGTATATTGCTACATAAATAAGGGAAATTGACGATAGAAAAGTTGAAGTAATCACGTTCATTTATATAATTTTATTGTTAGTTTGCCGTGACTTTTTTTCTCTAGTAAAATATCTAAATATGAAACAGATGTGTCAGACTATGTTACTAATTGATAAAAACGTCGTCGATAGATATATATAATGTCAAAATGAAGACCACCACAAGAGACTTCTTCTTTTAATGTACAATAAACATATTATTTGTCTCTTTTGATTCGCTACTACCTTTTATAAATAAACAGTTAGGTCTTTATCACATTCGCACCAAACTTTGCTCTGTCTCTTTGAAAGTTATAGAAAGCCTATTTGAAAATTTTAAGAAAAGTCCATATTTGGATTCTTCGACACCAGAATACAGGCTCGGAGTGAGTACTACTCAAGCAACCCGTTTCTTCCTTATACTTCAACAAGGAATTGACGCAGTTAATATATAAGTAATATTGTTAATCATAAAAGGGTCCAGTCTTATATTCCTCCATATTTCAAGTTGAAGTCCATACCTTGTATTTCTTACAAAACACATACCTTTATATCGCTTTAATCCGACTTACAAAAAAATTGGGGTGTGAAAAAAAAGATAAAGGTATTGAACTCCTTACATAGGGTACCCACATTCGCCATTAAAATACTTTTAAATCAAATTATTTAAAATTTTACTCTCTATTCATTTATATTCATATATAAACAATCGACATTACTACCAAAGTTCATTCCGAAATTCCGTATACTGAATTTCGATGAACTTTAGTAGTAATCTAGATTGTTTATATGTGAATAGATATGAATAGAAAGTAAAATTTTAGTACATTTGATTTAAAGTATTTTATTGGCGAAACTGGGTAGCCTATGTAAGGAGTTCCGTACCTTCATTTTTTTTAACATCCATATTTTTTTGGTCAGTCGGACTTAAGCGATCTAAAGGCTTGTGTTACAAATATTCATCGACTATTGCTTCCAAACTTTTCAATTACAAAAAACTGCAGTGCCTATAGATATCGAACATTTGAAACATACTAGTAATCCTCCAACGTTTTCATGTTCTTCTTCACCCTACTACTATAGTTCTGCTGGAAGCATCATTACTGGGGACGTAAATATAGTTAATAATGAGGATCTTAAATCACTTATTCTAAAAAGGCCAAATTTCAAGGAACTCCCATCTTTCAATGAAAAAGGTGAAGATAACGAACAGTGATCGATCTCAAAAAATCTGCAAACAATACAATTCTGTGAAGAGGACATAAAACACAAACCTCTGGAAATTCCAGAGGTGGGATCAGGTGCCTAGGAGCATCCCCTGTTGACCGGTCACATCCGCCGTGCGCCCTATGTATCGATCAGGTATACGGAACATTCCGTAGTCAAATTCAGTATGAAAACAAAGGCCTTTTATTGTTATGAAACAAGTCAGCCAAAATACGACCCAATGATAGGTTATTTTTGCTAACAAGGTCATTATAACGGCAATAAAATTTACGAAATGCTGACTTTAAACGAGAAATTCCTGTAACATCAACTTATCTGGGTTAAAAAAATGATTGTACTCGGAGCATGCTCTTAAGTATCGAATAAGTTGGGAGATGTAAACACCATATGCAGGTGATAGCGGGATATATTACTACATAAAGTCATCTCGTTTGTCATACAATTTAGTTGTTAGTTGGTCCTTATCGTCTATAGTTAGTAAAACATCCAAATATGAAACAGATCTGACAGACTCTGTGGTGTCTTTTATTTCAAGTTCACTAGGATATATCGAATTGACACATGAAAGAAAATAACTATTTTTAATTGATAATACACCGTCGATATATCTAAATATCGAGTTGAGGACCACAGCAAGTATTTTCTTCTTCTCATGTAGAAGTTTTTGAATAAATTCTGCTCCATGAGAATATACCGGTAAAACAGGTCGGCTAATAAAAGGAACACAATTAGTGCCCATTAGTATTCCAACAGTTTGTTGTCAAGCCTGGTCTCCGAAGACTACATAAATGTTAAATTGTCAATGAGGAACTCCAGCATCCTTTTCCTATCAAATTTAGAGTACTTGTGTGTAGAATCAGAGTGATTTTCAACAAAGTAATTTTGTTGATGACCAATCATAAGATAGGAAAATTCGCGACATTTTTATTGAAGAAGCAGTACGTTATCTATGGTATCAAAAAGTCTAGTTTTCAATTTATCGTGAGGAGTGGTTGTATAATGTGTAGAAAAGTCGTACATTTTGATGTTACTGACTTTGAAGAAAATTGCGATTTTTAAGTTTCTAAAAGTTCCTTAAGGATTTGGAGAAACCACATCTGATTTACACCTTTTCTAGAATATGCTGTAGCAAGGTGCGTCTGAAGTTTCTCCTTAATGCTGTTAATATTTTTGTAAGGAGTAAGGATAGAGCCTTATCATAGCATTTGCTTTACCCTGCAATATATCTCTGTAATTTTATGAAGTTAATGAATCCAGTATAGGTAGGGTAGACCGAACTCACCTTGGTTGACTGGAATGTCAAAAGTTTTAAATACTGAAATGTGATTTTGAAGAATTTAAAAAGTAAACTTCGAGTATATAAGTTGGATTTCCATAAGTAGAATTAAAACCAAGTTCTTCTAGAATACAGTTATAATAATGAGCCTCGCAAAAAAAGACGATATTGTTACAAGCCTTGTCGACTGAGGCCATAACATTTTGTTTACCGGGGGTATGTAGTCTTTCTAATTCTTTGATCACCTTCGATTTAGTGAAAACGGAAGGATAGATGGTTCGTATTATTATTATTATTGCCTTTTAAATTTCTTATACGATTCTTTAATATATTTCTTAAATATTTGTTCCAATCTGACAAAGTGTCCAGGTCTTCCTTTTCATATTTAGCCCAACGTCTGGAATAATCTTCGACAGAATTCATAATAGAAGTGAAGTACTGAGAGATAGGGGCTCCCTGTATTTAGGACTTTTAATATGATCACTAAATAAGATCTTCATTTTCTAAAAGATCTTTTAGTATCAGAAAGTATGAATTTTTATAAAAGGCTAGTTTTAGGTTATATTTTGGATTTTTCAGTTGTAATACTTTGTGAATATGTCATAGAAAAATATTTTATTTTGATAAAAGTCAAAGAGCCCTTGGGGTACGGAACACGGGGGAGGGGGGGTTCCCGTCCCCAAGCACCTGTGTTTCTTGTATAGCAATTACTCCTATCACCTGCATATGGAGTTAATGTCTCCCACTTGATTCGTATGACATGCCAAACGTTGCGATATTTGATCTTTTCTATTTGTATAGTATAATTTTCCATTTGTATTCTATAGTTTCCTACTTTTGTATACTTACATGTAGTGCATATAAGAATACAAAAATAGGAAAAAGGTGTGTCGACCCCAGAGTTAAAAAAGAAATAAAATGGAAAAGGGGAAGGGAGCGTCCAGCCCCCAAATACCTATGATTTCAGTACAGTGATGTATACAGTCAAGAATGAAAAAGTGCATGACGTTTAAAGATTCTGAATTGTAATATAGCCAGTGGAAGTAGGTAGTACTCCCCCGTCTTTATTATTTACTGTTTAGAAGATGACTGTCAGAATTGATCCTACGTTTTAAATATGATTTTTTTAAACATGGCCGTAGGTTTTTTATTTTTTGTTTGTTTGTTTTTTTTGGGGGGGGGGGGGGCTTGTCAAGGAATTTTGATAGTTGCTAGTGCCCCCTCCCCAACTGAAAATGTATATGGTTGTGCCCCATCAATGTGAAATTGCTTCCTACGGTCCTGTTAGATACATATATTTTTATTTAACTGCAGATTAAACAGCAGTTGATCAATTTACCTGTAGTTCTTAACTTCTTTAAGATAAAATTAGACCACTGTTCTATATATATGTTCAATATATACAGATAGGGGTTATCGATGTGATACCGATTGACACTAACAAGACCAAAACAACCTAGCCATGGCTAGTTTAAAGTGGCTCATTTTACTGTTCATTCTCACGATAACTGTGTCCATTAATAAAGCCAGTCCAACGGAAAACAGGAATCAGATCCAAGGGTCCGTCTTTAGTTCCTTTGGTGAGTAGGTTTTCTATATAATTCGTTATTTAAAAGGGCTCTCTGTACATATGTATAACGAAAATAAGACTAATTTAATTCTGTATTTCTGTTGTAAGGGTTAGAATTATTATTATTAAATATATACATGTGCATAAACAAGTATTGTTCCATAAGCGTTCCAATTTGTATTTGTAATACAAAATTCAAATACGAAGTATGAAATTATATGTACATATCAACTGCGTGCAAAAAAATTGTCGCATGTAGTGCATGTAGTAATTTTTAAAATTTTATTAAATATAGAAAATATTTTTTCACGAGGACAAGTAAATATTAAGAGATAGAAGAATGATTAATGAGAATTCGTCATGTGTAAAATTTGGGGGAGGTGTCCAAAAGCACATAGAATTAATAAAACTGAAAAGATCGTCAAATGCATCATAGGAGTCGTAACTGTACAGACAGATAATAAAAAGAATGTAAAGTATTATAGTAAATACATCCTAGAATTCATTATACCGGTCTTGTAGAGTAGGCTTCTCCCCTAACCCCCCCCCCCCCGCGGAAAAATGACTCTTTAGTAGGATTTCCCCCACAAAAATCCCACATCAGATTCAATTTTCCGGGGGGTGGGTGGTGGAGGGGTCTTACTCTGCGTTATAGTTACATGTATACAGTGCGATTTCCCCAGCTGACTATGTGGGACATCCTACTCTGCAACACCGGTGTTCCCCCATAGCCAACTTTCCCCCGGAATCTGTACTCTAGAGTAAGATTTCCCGAGGGGAAATCTCACTCTAGAGCCAGATTTCCCCCTCTTTCTTTCTCAGAGTAGGATTATTTTGGCTAAAAAGTATAAAAGAAAGTCAACTGATTTTTTAAAGGAAATTTTAGTGTTCTGGACTCCAGAATTATCGAATTTAGTATGAAATCTTTAAATATATAGTTCAAATCATCGAGTCTCAACTCAAAATTTTAACTCATAGGAAACTGTGAAATTAGTCACTCAAAAAATCGTAAGAATCGATCGATGTCAACACCTCTCTTGGCGCAGGGGTATCTGTTTGTTCATGAATTTTAAAACGCATTATAATTTGTTTGCCCTCTAAAAGTCCAGTATTTCATCTATGGATGGATCCTATTTAAGAGTATGTGAGAAAATTCTAAAAATTACGTTATTGACAGGTTCCACCTGCCATTTTGTGAGCATTTGAATCGAGTAGTTCTTCAAAGGAATTTTAACAAAATAAGCCAATAGAAGAAACAAAACAATACAAGAAACACTGCTTTTGTAAGCTAAGGCAAATGTTCCCTCGACCCCAGCGAATTTTAAAACAGAGAGCAAATACTCTCTTAAAGTTTTACAAAATTTAACTTTTTTAGAATTAAATGACCCATTTTTAGTTCCATGTCAACTAGCTGCAGCTATATTTTGGATATTTAAACTAGAATCTTGGAGAGACACTTACACTTCAACATTATGAACATATAGTTTGAAATACAATTGGAGAAAAAAAATCCATTTAAAATAAAATTCCTTTTTGTTTCCTTGGATACGGTAAAAAAAAATTTCCAACCGATTACATTGTACCAATTTTTTTAAATTTTTTTTTTTCAGAAACCAGTTTGACCTGATCATATGAATAAAATTTTCATGCTTCAAAAGAATTTGTCGGACGGTCACTGAGAAAATGAGATTTAAAATTTCAATTTTCATACTTCGTAGGTTTCAATGGAATTGGTCGTCATTTTGCAACTGGGACACTTGTAACAATATGTCCCCCCCCCCTCCCTAATACATAAGTACAGCCAAAATATTCTGTTGGGGAAAATTGACTCTGGGGGAAATCGCATTCTATAGCTCTTACAAAGAGTAGGATCCGATTTTCGCAGGGGAAATCCTACTCTAGAGTGATTTTTCCATGGGGAAAACCTATCTAGAGCATATTTTCAGTGGGAAATCCTACTCTAGAGCCAGTTTTCCTGGAGGAGGGATTTCAGAGGTTAAAACCTACTTTACAAGTACTCTACAAGACCGGTATGATAGAGCAGGATTTCCTCGATAGTAGGAGCACACCACTCAGCAGAAATTCCACTGTAGAGTGGGATTTCCTCCCCGGAGAAATCATGCTTTATAGTAATCTTTCCCCAAGGGGAAATTCTACTCTAGTCAATACCTCCCTTTCATTAACAACCAAAGTGGGATTTCCCATTCCATATAAATGCTGATATTTGTGGTAGTGGACAATTTAATCTTTTGAAGGATGTGGGCTCATTTTACACGGTTTTCTGAAGAATTCCAGATTCTGATGTAGGTTTAGAAATTTAGAAATTTTACAAAATTGTATTAAATAATTGTTCGGCAAGAACCCGACTTTTTGTGCTTCTTCCATGAAATAAACACATCCAGAGAGAGTAAATTTTAAGAGAAGAATTGAATATTGTTTTCATTTTTTCTAGTAAAATTAATCTCTCTCACACACATTTTGTTTCAGTTTAAGTTCCTAAAAATACAATATGATTTATGATATAAAAATATCCATTTCGTTATTTGCATATCTATTTCTATTCTATTAATATGTTCTAGTAAATATAGGGGAGGGGGAAACTTGCTCTGGGAGGCTTTGCCTCAGAAAACCTATACTGTAGAGTGTGATTTCCGTGGGAGTATTTTTACTCTTAAACCATTTCTTCTCAGGAAAAATCCTACTCTAGACTCCTTTTCCGGGGAGGAAGGGATTCCACTCTAGAGTCAGTTATCTGGGGTGGAATTTTTAGGACGGATGCTTCTTTATGAGACCCAGCCGTACTTATAAAATAGGCTATATAATTCTTGTTTGCTGAACTTGACCCACAATATGCGCGATTTCATCAAAATGATCTTTACAAACCAGAGAAGATTAATATACTGTCTTGTATTCTGGAGATTCTTCTAATTTTTTTTAAAACAAAGTCGATAGGAGTTATTTTAGTGATTCATTAGTATAAATAGTTTGGTTTAGCGGAAAGAAATGAGGCGGAATAAAAATAAAAATATAATTGCAATAATGAAGACATTAAGGCAGTATGGATACCAGTCCTGTTCACTGATCTTATAGCGCCTAAAGTGCAGTAAGTCATTACAAATATATTTTACAGGGGAAGTGACAAACTTTCTTCGGGAATGGTTCGCCAAGCTCACCCAAAATTTAGCCCAGGACTACAAAGAATATGGCGGTGCTTCTGGTCATCGAGAGAAAAGAGACCTAAAACCACCGGTAGACTTTGAAATTATTGCACAAGAATATTTACTTAATGAAACACAGCAGTACTTGCAGCAGTTTTTGGGATATGCAGCGTACCTAAATGTTACAAACAAAGAGTCGTTAGACGAAATTTACCTGCGAGAGGAGCGTCGTCTGTCGGGAATGTCTACACCAGAACTTCTCAAATATATGACGTCACTGAGTAAAACATTACGTTTTGGCACCAGTGGGAGTACCATTAGTATAAATGGACAAAAATTTGACCTCAGTCATGTTGGAAGTTGGTGTTGTCCCTTTTAAATTAAACAACCGTGTTTTGTCCTATCATTCGTGTCTCAAAATACATGTAATAAAAATATATACATTTGTGTGTATGGAATTATTTTTGAGAGACGTTTATTACTTAACACACGCTTTTCGGTATAATTTTTAGCTTCTTTTTTTTTACTGTAAAGTGAGTCGTTACATGGTGCATATATCAGACAATATTCTGAGAGAAATTTAAAATTCCTTTAAGCAAGAAAACTCATAGAAATAAAGGTGTAACTTAAGTATATTTTATTATCTTAACTTGACATTTTGATCTTATATATGAATGAATGCACATATGTTTCTATTCTCTTGAGAGTGTCAGTAGCATTTTTCCGTATGCGTTACAAGCATATTGCTAGTATTTTTTTTTATTATTATTTTTTTATTTTTATTTTTTTTATTTTTTTGCAAATTTGCTTGCATTACTCCAATTTGAATGAAGATTATATAAATCTGTGGCTGCACGTAAAATCTGTGAAGAATGTAAGGTCAAAAAGTCTAGAAAAATATTGCCGGTATACAAAATTAAAAAGTATTGAACAAAATACAACTTTTTTCCACATTAAATAGAAAATACATTTCCCAGAAAGAGACATATAGTGCATTTGATGGGCCATTTCACCTACTCTGGCGTATTTTCAATAATACATTTTTAAACTAATTTTTTTTTATATAATCTAAGTTCATACATGTATAAACTCAAATTACACTATGATATTTACATATTTTAAATAGTTTATTTTTGATAATTTTGTTCCAACGTCATGCGCGTATCTGAGAGGGGTCGGGGTCTGGAACCCCCCCCCCCCCGGTGGAATTTGCAGAGTTATTAAAAGAAAAGTAAATGCTAAAGCAAATCGAAATGACTTTGGACCCTCCCCCTGGAGAACGTGGACCACACCACCACGAAATAGGTTTTTTCACGTTTGGGAAATGGTTTTTACTTTTTTGTGTGCGTGTGTTTTTTGGATTGTTTTTTTTTTTGGGGGGGGGGGTGTTTTGTTTTGTTTTGTTTTTGTTTTTGTTTTTTTTTTTTTGTTTGTTTGTTTGTTTGTTTGTTTTTTTTTTTTTTTTTTTTTTTTTTTTTTTTTTTTTTTTTTTGTTTTTAACATGTCAAGAAATTTTCTGCGTTTGATACGTTTAGGAAAGAAGTTTAGGTGTTATTTTCTTGTCAAGAAATTTTTCTGGGTTGGAAATTTTTTGACTGGGGTGGACAGCCCACCCCCCCCCCCCCCCCCCGGGAAAAATTCCTGGATCCGCACTACCTTCATGATCAATAAAACTATGACCAAGCATTAATCTCTGTTAATTAAATCTTAAAAATCCATTTTGTTCTCTAACCGGGACGACAATAATGTAATTTTGATTGCATTGGAAGCTTCTAGTCCGAAATATCTCACTTTTTCCTGGCTTTTTTTTTTTTTTTTACAATTTGATATTTTACGTGCCAGGACGTAAAGTATATAATCGTAAAAAAAAGCCAGGAAAACGTCAGATAGCTTCTTAATATAGACTAACGATTAGAGTAATTCCCCATGACGAAACTACATGAACTCCCGTCAGGCGGCGCTTTGCAAGTACGTCACGCTTTGGCACGAGATTCAACACAGAAGAAAATGGATAGGCCAAGAACATAAACAAGACAACGTTTTTTAAACAATGACTGTTTTTAACCCTCAATCTTAGACTGACATTCATTAGGAATTGCCCATTAAGGTAAGTCATAATCCCTTTTGCATTGCATGAAAACATTTTCAGTAAAAATTTGAACAATAAATTATCTTTTGTTTCATGAGAGTAGCGACAGATGTTCATCGACCTGGGGTGCACGATAGGGGATGTTTGGTTTGGAAACATAGCATATTAGATCTTTTATTGAGATCCACGTTCCAAGTATGATATATATATTTAACATAAAAAACATCTTTTTTAATTGGTATGTGCACCCAACGATATAATTTGAGGTTCTTGAGAGTGCCTGGGGCTCTACACAAGCTCGGCGGCCTTCACTGGCCTTTATATAACAATAGAATAGGTCGGTCTCAGACTTAAACGACCTATTTCTTTTTCATCCTCTTTAGCAAATAGAGGTATGCAAAATATTAAACTACTGCATATTACTGACATGTTAATCCCAGATTTGATATCTTTTGACAATAGCAAGTTTTTGCCCTCAAGATAAATACACAGATTTCTCTACAGTCAGTTTACACCTGTCTTGTCCCTTTGACACATAACACTGGTAGCCACATGTTTGTGTACTAATAACAATTGGTTAGAAATGCAGCTTTACAAATGACAGTCAAGATCACAAGATAACAGGGATGCCTGAAACTAAATTCTTAAAAATTAACCCTAATATTAGACTGATATAACAAAAGATATCAGTGTATATTTTTAAGTTCATTTTGGGATCATATTACAAAGTAAGTTGAATGTATAAGTGTGATATCTTGTATATATTTGTAAGTGATGCACAGTCAAGTTAATCCTTGAGCAAATATTTATCAGGTTTAATCTTATGATGATTATCTCCTAATGCCATTAGTACAAATATTGTTACTGTATGTAACCTGTGGCCATAAAATGTCATCATCTTCTTAACTCCAGAATCTAGTCAAATCAAATAAGGTTTTATTTTTAAAACATATTCATCTGTGGACCAGTACAAGTGCTTTTATTCTTGTTTGAATCTTGTTTGTGTGTAATGCATGACTTATAAGTGGTGTTAGGAAGCCTGAAGGATTAATCCAACTGGACATTCCCATTTAAGGGAGGAAATAGATTCTTGAATTGTGTTTATGACATTTCCTCAATTTTAGGAGATGTACATATTTGTGTAAAATATATCTAGGATTTTGTTCAAGTGGATACATTAAGTTGACAGAATGTATGTCTTGTACGAAAAATTTGACATACCTCCTCAAAGAGAGGTTGAAGATGACCTATATTTTAATTCAAGTGAGTCATAATATTAGGAATTGTGTGTTTAGAGCTTTTATTAATAGTTTGTGTATTTATTGCATTTTTGATTTGCCTTTTGATTTTATATAGCATTTTAGAAAAAGGAAAGTGTATGTATTACTTCAAAAAGTAAACAATAAGTAATCTTCCTTTTGATTCATTCATCTCAAGTTTTAGTATCAGTTAACATTAAATCATGAAATTGTAATCATTCAGTATTGAATTTGTTAATGTCCACTTGTTATGTTAGAGTACAGTTATGAACATCTTTACAATCTCCTAATTCTTTTATTGCTTTGACACAAAATTGTTAGAATTTGACTATGTATGTTTATATATATGTACCTTACCAGTTGAGCAATACAGGTATCATGTTTTAATCACAATTTTATGCTCCAATTTACACTGTAAGGCATGTTACTATGTAACAGGTTATAAAATGATTGAAGAGGTGTTAATGGTTATCTATGTATATTTGCTCAAATAACTTATACATGTAGCCATGGTTGAAATTTCATCACTAAATATGAAGTGAATTATGTATTAAATAAATATATATTTTTTGAAGACATACTTATTATGTTTAATTATATACATTTCAATATTTCAGAGTACCTGTTAAAACCTAGTGCTAACTTTGCTGAAATGGAACATATTTATGAGGAAATTCTGAGTCCCTGTAAAAGACTGAAGGTGTCTGGCAATGGTTTACCCCAGGGTGCCCCTCACTCTATCCCCCCACTGAAAGGTTACCAAGCTCCCCCACCATCAGTTATGTCTACTGATGACAAGAAATCAAGGCCTCTCAAAGTCTTGCAGAATGAAGGTCAGTATTGTAATTGTATGTAAACAATTTCTTGTTTGTATGCCATATTTACATTGACCACATGTAAATTCCTTGTTGTTGATTTGCTTAAATGAAGGCCATCATGTAATACCCCAGTACTCTACATCTTGACACCTGTTCTACTGTCTTATGCTCCAGTTCTGATGTAAATCTAATTAAACACATGGTTGTTCATTATTAAAATTGATTCTTTTTCTCAAAAATCACATGATTTATACCTTCTTGTTTTTTTGAATTGCAAAGTCTGCAGCAAGTAAACTAAACTCCCCATTAGTGGAAACTTTCAATTATGGTAAATAAGTTTTATTTGTTTCTAGAAAACTGGCTTCAGTTTGAAACAGTATTCAAAGTTAATACCAAAGTATATAATATATCCAGTAGATAAGCAACTTTTCTAGCTTGTGAGAATGGGAGAATTTTGCCCAAATTACTTTCAATGGGAATACCAAAGATCTTTTTGAAAACAGATTTCTTTTATGATATTCCATTATGTACTTGTTAATGGGGAGTACCAATGGATTGGCAGAGCAATAAGGTCCCATTTAGAGGGCCTGCCTAAATTGTGTGGTGTCTAATGTTAATTTTATGGACATTTCATCATCACCAACAGTTTGATAATTTCCAGGTTGTTGTTAGACTCTGTGACTTGATAATGACAATTGTGATTGACACATGGCCGTTTATGACTGGACTCACACAGGGAGGGCATTGTGTGGAGGGGTGGGAGGGTCATTGAATGGCTAGATCACCACTGATATATTTCCTCCTTTGACCATGTTGACCAGAAGATAAGCTCAAGGTTGGGTAATAGTTTAGAGAAGCACTAGGTCTTATCTTTGGAAATACCATATCAGTGCAGAAAGATTTGGGCAAGGCCACATTGTACCATGTTCAACTGTCTGATCTCCATGTAACACTCCAAACTTAGAGTATGTACTATAAAGCCTCATAAAATGTCTTAGTCATGATTTTGGTACCTTAGGCCTGTAATGAGCTCTTGATAGACCAGTATTGAAACAAAATGCACATCATCCAGTTTACATGGTTTACATGAATGAATATCAAGTGTACTATTTAATGTAAGGAAAACAATGTTATGGACATTAGATTAGTTTATAATTTTCCTCTATTAATTTTTGTTAGTGTTGAGGATGTTTGTGATTGGAGCCACATGATTAACTAAATTCCCCAAATTAATCACTTTCGTTAAGAAAAATTGTTTTCTCACAAAAGAAATTTTAATCAATTGAATGTGGGTTTAGTGGTCACTTGGGTCACTCACTGTGGGAGTTTCCCAGCAATAGTTAAATGTTACTGTCAGTTTGGGGTTGATGCACTCCACATGCTGCAGAGATTAATGTGAAAGGTCCCCATGTTTATGTTGGGGGTAATTGGCTGAGTGGCTATAACTCCCCTTGGTTCCAGTGTGATGGTAAAGTTACAACAGTTTAATGAGGATGTTGATGGACTTGGATACTTTACTGGTTAGAAATATATTACTTCCTAAATTGCTAACAGGTACTTTTAAACATTTTACTATTAATTTCATATTTTTTTCAATTATGTTTATCATCTTGTCATGTGTTAAGTTCTTCAAATACATTTATAAATCCTAAAAAAAATTATTAAAAAAAAAAAAAATTTAGGGTATTTCAAGTTAATTTTTTTTTAGTTAAAAAAAATATTATAAGCTGGCGATTTAAATGATTGTATCAATTTAAATCTCAAAAGATGAATTAAGAATAATCTATTTAAGAAGGTGAAGCGTGCCTTGGCAGGTGTTAGACAGAGATATGAAGATTTTACTACGTGTTTTATTGGACAGTGTAGAGTCACACCTGCTGGTATACAGTAGTATATCAATATGATATGGTGCGTCTCGGAGTGGGGTACACCCTCTAATTGTGGACAGGGGGGAATATTTAGTGACTGAGTTCCCGTAAAGTTATATTTGATGATCTATAAAATTTTTAACCCATTATTATGGTAAAAAAAAATATCTGAACAAGCGTCAGCAGGTGTTATAGGTTGCACTAATCATGTGCTAATAGAAATCTTGTTCTTTGAAGTCTGAATCTACTTGAATTTTGAAATTTTGAAAAGAATTTTTTTTCCATGAAGATATTTGTTTCACTTCCTATCCAAGAATTTGTATGTAAATTGCTTCTTTGCATAGAGCCTCCAGTCCTGCTGAATATTAACTTTGATTAAACATCTTCAAAGACAATGTTGTGTAATATTAGTGTTAAGTCAGTAACTTAATGTGTGGTTGTTATATAAGATTTCTGTATTTTCTAACCTCCTTTCTGTATCCTTATATAACCACACTGTTATTCACAGCTATTACATCTGGGGATACAGGTAACTGGATATACATTAAACATTAGGATGATTACTATATATCATTATGTTGAATTTCGAGGCAATGAAAGTTATTCCTCAAAACAGCATGAGGTAATCATTTCCAAATATTACTTTTTCTCCTCCTTTGGAATATTTATCAGGATTAATTCTGAATTTGTAGTACAATATTGTCCTGTTTGTTCTATCTAAATAAACTGCTATTCACATTGCATAAAGTTTCAGATTTGTGTGTAGAGTAAAATGTACATTTCACAGCTTGGGTTCAATGTCTACTTTGAAGCCATTTACCCAGGTAAAGTTTCACACCTGCTTCTGTAGACATTGAGTCTAACTACCCAGGTAGACTCTTTTAGCCAATCACAGCCCTGTATCCAGTATGCCTTTAGACATAGTGTCAAAATTACCAATTCTAACTGGTATTGTCAATGGCATGTGAATTGTCATATTTCTAGTGTATGAGACTAGGTTTATTGGATTTTGAATAATTTAATACAGTTATTTCTTAACAAATTATTGTGGGAGATTTTTGGACTGGTGTTTTTGAGTTCACCAGTATGGTGTTTTCTCGCCCTGATTCTGTAGGGATTTATGAACAGAAAATCATGAGTACTAGAGGTATATAATACATTAGAAACAGAAAATGTTTATGTAAGTTTTTTTAATGTAGAAAAAAAATTATTTGATCTCTAGCAGTATTTTTTCAGCATTGCTTGTTTCTTTTGTAGGTCAAATTAGATTGTCAGCTTACATGAATTTTGGGTTATTAACAGTTCATGGTACGTAATCATTCAATATATTTCTTAAATTTTTATCGATTTTTAAGCAAAATTAAAGTAATGTAAGAGTATCTTGTGGTGTATTCCAGTTCTTTTTTAAATAAATTTTTTGTCTTATTTTCAGTGATACAAGCAAGACACCTTACATCAAAGTCATCTCCTCTATGCAATGCAGTTGTAAAGGTAAGCATGCAGAATATATATATATAATAATTAATGTAAACTTTTTATCTTATTCGTTATGTAATTTCATGACTTTATATGTATTGTTTTCAATTTTAGATGTCTCTGGTGCCAGATGATACAAGAAAATCGAGATGCAGAACAGATGTTGTTAATGGGTCTAACAATCCCCTTTTTGATGAGAAATTTTCTTTGTGAGTATTCATTTTTTGTGTTAAAAAAAAAAATTTAAACAAAACAAGTATTAAACATGTATATAACACCTGTCTTAATGTATGGGAGTAATTATTTTAATTTTTAAAAACTTCTGAATTAATAATTAACAATGGTGACACCTTTGAATTGACATCTGAATAGAAAATTTAAAATGCTATAATGTGACATTCATTATAAAATATATAAATTTGTTTTTGTTTTTAATTAACATGTTTGTTATATTCTTGACCATTCTTGCCAAACAAGCACCATTGAATCATGATTGGGTCAGAATTTCAATTAGGATGAATCCATCGTTTCCTGAGGGAAAATGTCTATTTAGGCATGAGATCTGTAGATATATTTGAAATAACATGTGGACAAGCAGGGTTCTATCTGCCATGTCAAGATAATGCTTAGATAGCAGCACATCACTGATTGCATAGTGTCATTGTGTAATTGCTATTTGTTACAATTTCCTGGCAACTATTGTTAAGTGACAACTGAGTATAGCAACCACTGTGCACCAGCAAAAATTAATTTAAACAGGAAATTCTGCAGGCCAAATATTTTATTCATTCAAAAATGTGCAATATTCTGTAACAAAACAAAATGTTATTATGTGGATGTGTAGAGCTTCTTAGATTAAGCAGACCTAGACAAAAGATTAAAGAAAAACCTTTTCTTGGGATGATAATCTCTTATCAGCCACTCCCCCTGTGATATTTGATGACCCCCTGTTGTAATCTGGAATTGTCATAAGTAAATCCCTCTTATTCTCTCCCTTTCCTTTTTTGTCATCTCCCATTGTTTCTTACCCTGCATGATGTTAGGATGTAAACTTGTCTATGCAAGTTTGATTGCAGCATTTCTGGATAATTTTTTAAAAAAAAAGCTCAAAGGTTTTTATAAATAATTTTGGTATTGAGTAGAAAACTGATGACACCTGCTGTAATTTACTATGATGTCTGTTTTGTGCAGTGAGCTTTTTGAGGAAGACAACAATAAGAGACTCCTCATCTCACTATGGAACAAGGAGGCAAACAACAAGTGAGTTTTATTTTATTATTCTCTAAATTCCTTTCTATCTTTTAATATTTCTTCTATTTCTTTTTTTATTCTTGAGTTTTTTGTTTTGTTTTTGCATGTCCTACTATTTTCATTAATTTGTTTAATATAAACTAAGTACTAAAATTTCTTTATTTTGAAGATAATTTAATATTAATAAAGATTATCATTAAAGATTTTCAATATTTGACTAAAATTTCATTTTTCTTTTTCAAAAGAAATTTTAGAAAATCAAGTTTTATCTAAATTATTGAGCAATATTTTTCTTTTTAAACCTAAATCATTTAAAAATTTGAGACTTTTTTAATTACATGTGGAATATCTCTATGTTTGGCTCTAGCACACATAATTATAGGTTTATTATAGGTTTGTCAAACTAATTACACAATTAATTTACTGTTTACCTACTGATAAGTACTACCAGACTTTTGCTCAGCAGGGTTTCTGTCTCTTGATTGATTTGTGATATACATGTTTACCTAATAATAGTGTTGTGGTCTTGAATAGATAATTATCATCATTATGTGGGGGGCTTCCTTAAGTTTTGACAGAGATTTGATTCTTAACCTTGATACAGTGAGAGAAAGAGAAAATGATAGATCTTTAAGCATATCAAGACATTTGACACATGGCTTTGACATGTGATAATCTCAGCAAATTGAAGGCAACCTTAGACGTTTCTCGTGCCATTGAAAACACATAAATCTTATTTTAAACATGATATTTAATTACAGTGAGTTTTTGGGATGTACATCCTTTGGAATCCGTCACTTGATTAACGGGAGGAAGGATACGGATGGCTGGTATTATCTTTTGACAGAGGAAGTAGGTCGTAAGAAGCACTTGAAAGTCTCCAGCAAAAACCAGCCTAAGCTTCAAGTTAGAAGTAAGCCTTCTATTAAGTATCTCAGATTTAAGTTAGAAATGAGTAGTACATCCTTATGTGTGAGAAAAGTACTTCCCACTTTTGCTGTTCATGATACAAAAATTTCCAAATTGTGTTGAAAGATGGCCTTTAGTGAATTTGTGCATAAAATTCTTCAAAATGACATGCTGCATTGCAAAAAAGCATGTAAATTAAGAAACAGAGTATATTGAAAAACCCTGCAATTTGACCTGTGCTCTTCTATAAATTAAAACAAACAAACAGACAAACAAAAAAAAACTGCTGCTACATAGAAACCAAAAAAATTTTGTAGAATATAGATATATGTCTTAAATTTTGGGAAGTATATCTCTTCAGAGATGTTAAGGAATGATTGTATTTAACCATGATCTATGAATGCTATGCTGATTCATCTAATGTTTAGAAACACAGCACAGATATTCTTATGAATTTGAAGGATAGAGTGTTCACATTTTTTTCCTCCCTTTTTGAAGGTCAGAGAGAAAATGTGCCCCCTGTCAACAAGGATGTGTGGGGAATGGAATCTGTCACTGTTACAGTCCACAGAGGGGAACATGGATATGGATTCTCTGTGATTGAGAGTTGTCCAGTCAAAGTTGGCAGAGTTGATAGAGGTACATATGTCATTTTTTTCACCAAGTGATATTCAGCATGTCCAGACAAGAAAAATTGTGAACATCACTGGTTTGGCTAAGGAAAAAAATAAAGATTTAATTGTGTTGTTTGGTGATTTTTTTCAGGTTCCCCAGCAGATCATGCAGGGCTGTGTCCTGGAGATTGTATCATACGTGTCAATAACCAGAATGTCTCCCGATCACAGTCTGCCAGTGTAGCCAAACTTGTAAAGTGAGTTAAGCTTAAAAATCTTTTTTGTAGAATTATTTTCCCTATTTAGAAATTGCTGATATTGGTAATATACTGACAAATTCACAATTGTCTATTTATTTTACAGGAATTCAGGTCCTACTTTGATCATTGACCTGCAGCGCCCCAAGTCGTATGAGATTCTGGAGACCCCCTCTTGGCAGCAGGTGCTTCCTCCTAATTCCTCCATAGAACATATGGAGCTAAGACGTGGTCAGGACGACAATAACTCAGGAGAGCTCTCAGATGACAGCAAGGGGACTGATGGATCCGTAGATGAAGGAGTGTTCTCTCTTCCCAGTCACCTCATCACAAGCACCCCTCTCCCCCTCTTCATGAATGGACACCAGGTATGTATGGCGGGAAATATTTAGGGAGGTTAAGTGTGTGTAATAAGATTTTCAATTTGAGTTACCATTTGTTTTTATTTTTATTTGATACCACTCTGTTCTGTGGTAAATGTAAGATATCAGCTTCAAATGAAAAAATTGCTAACATGGTTTTACTATTGTTGCAGACTGTGCCAACTAGAGATAAGAGGAAACAGGAGGCCATCCACAGATTAATGAGCATAGAGATGGAGTTTATTGATGTCATGCATGCTGGAATGCAACGATATTCCAGACCACTCCGTCATTGTATTTTAAACCCCAGACAACATTTTACCCTCTTCCAAAATATCGAAAAAGTAAGTAGATTATGTCTCCTTTCTATCATTTAATTGAAAGTTACCTTCAGCAAAAGAATTATTATAATAGAAAATACACCTTTACAATGTTTGTTATTAAAAGAATGAAAAATTGGAATTTACTGTAAATCTGAACCATGGTTATCTTTACATTTTTAGTTGGTAACCATTTCTGAGTATCACCTTAAGCAAATCCATGACAACATGCCATCATTTTGTTCGGACACAGAGGGATCTTTCACATCAAGTGAGGGAGGACAAAACTTTTCCATTGGCATGATCTATCAATCAAAGGTAAATTCAAATCACACTCCAAACAAAAGGTTTTTTTTATTGAATAATTACTTGAAAATTCAGGACAGAATTTGTTGGGTCAGGAGAGAGACAGTTTTACTCACAAACTATTTCAAATTTTCAGGTACACATGCTGTCCCAAGCATATGAGTTGTATTCAAAAGGTTTAGGGGAGGCCAATGAACTTTTATTAGAACTAAGGAAATCAACAGAATTTGTAAAATTTGTCAAGGTGAGTAGCTTTGAATAAAAGTAACAGTAGAATATTTATGATCACATATTATACATTTTATTAATTACTCATTTGAAGAGGCTAATTAAAGTGACTTAATTATTTGATTTAATACAGGATCCCCCCTTAGAGCCCCAACAGCCCTCTATCAGCACATTTCTAACCAAACCAGTCCATCACATTCGAGAGATGTACCAAGTACTTCAGGACATCTTCATAAACACACTCAATGAAGAGAGTGACTTTAAGGGTCTCAAACAGGTGGTTGAAAGTAAGTTATCTGCAATGGAAATTGTCAGTCATGCTTGCATCTTTAAAACAAAGTAAATGTAAGCTCTATTATTGCACAGTTGAATGAAATGCATTATGAAAATGACAAAGTTTCATGAGACCATAAAAGTATATTTTTAAGAAAATTTCAACATCCTGAGTTACAGATTTTTAATAAACCTTTACCAAGTAAGACTACAAAGATATTATATTGTAGGAGATTTAAAAAAAAAAATCTTGACTTTTCAGGTTTAAATGAGTGTGTGGGCAATATATCAAACTACAGCTGTGTGGACCGTGTTCCAAGCATTTCATCCCTTGCCTCATCGACTGGAAGCACAGGACATTCTAAAACTGAAACTAACTCAATGTCCGGCAAAGGCACTCTTGCTCCATCCTGTTCTATGAACACTGTACGATCTGTTGACTCAGAAGTAGCCAGAATACAAGATCGATTGGTGTTTTCTTCAAATGCTGGGGTAAGAAATGTGTTCTGTATCGTACTTCATTATCAACATAAATACAAAAAATTTTAAAGCATATCCATATGTTTCAAAGGTCATAAAGGAATCTGTTACTGATATCTGCTTACTGATTCAAAAGCACCACTATGTTCAAGTATTGTAGACACATTCTAAAAGCTTTGTCTTTATGAAATGTTAATGTTTTTCCCCCCCAGAAATTCCAGCTATGTACAGAGGACAGACATTTGATTTATGCTGGCGACATGTTTAGATGGGAGGGAACCACTTGGAAAAAGGTAGGAATCTTTACAAGAAAGATTTTCTGTCACTTCTGTTAATAACATTCAGTAATTAATAAAATACATGTAAAGCATGGACAAAGTATCTAATTCTGCCATTTTTTTCAGCTGTTTGTACTGTTGTTCTCTGACATCCTGGTCCAGACTGAACAAGACAGAAGTGACCAGCTACATGTACTGTATGAACCTGTGTTTCTAAAGCACATTACACAGGTGGATGGACAGAGAAATCACAGTAAGTTGTGGTCACTGTTTTCAATAGGTGTCAAAAATTAAAAGACAGAAAAAAGTTCCTGCATGAAAAACTTTGTAGATTATGTTGCATCTAAATTGGAAATTATGTAGAATTATTGGATTTACATTGTGATATGTTTTTCTTCCAGCAACTGAACTTGTTTTACATTTTGCTTCTGAAACAACCCCTCAAGGAGTTCCAATCACCCACAAGATGCTATTCCGGGCCCCTACTACTGAATTGAAGTACACCTGGAAGTCTCTTTTGGAGCAGAAAGTCCATAATGTAAGGGGAATTACCACAGACTACTATAGTCTTAGTGACTGCTCTGCAGGCTCAGCTGTTATCATATGAAAGGAAAGGCGAAAAAGGACAACGGTGACGGAGGACTGCACAGAATCAGCTGATGATAAAGACAGACAATGACGATTGTGAGCATAGACTATAGTGCTTCATCAAGATTAAACAGCAACAGAACATAGCTGATTTCATATAAAGACAAGGACCAAAAAAAACAACAGCCTCGGGGAGACCACCCAAGATCAGCTGTTGATGAAGACGGACTTTGATGACTGTGAACACAGGTCTTAGTGCTTCATTAAGAATGGACTACAGTGTAATAAAGAGTTTCTATCATTATTTTTTTTTCTTGATAGATATCAACATTTGTCTCAGAAAAGCATGTTAAGTAGTTTTTATGGTATATGTATTCATTTCTGAGCTAATGGAATGTAGACATATATTGACATAAGATTTGTGGTCAGTAAATGTTATATATATATGTACATGTAGATTGCCACATGAAACTTTTGTAATGTTGTTTTTATTGAACCAGATTCAGTTTTCATTGCACAATTACTATGTGTGTTAGGAATTAAGTTGCAAACATTGCTAGTCAGTAGATAAATATTTGCTGTTTTATTTACTCATTCGTGTAATTCAAGAGATTTTACATTACTCCTGTATGTATTTAACCTTTGTACTAAGAATATTCCATTTTTAAGCAGCGATAAATAATCCAGTCTACCCAGATTATCAATACTCAGATTTTTTGTAGCCATATTTACTCTATGATGCATTTTATAGATTTTGTATACCTTTGGTATGAATTATATGTGGATTTTGTTGGGAGTTCCTTTGTTGGAACTGTGAAGTGTGATAAAAGACGCTACCTTGATTGAGTTTACTCATCATATGAACAAAGTATTGTTTTGATAGGATTTGATAGGCTTTTTAAGGATGTGTGATTTGTGGCAAATTTTGTATAAATTTCTTTTTAAAAATGACAACAAAAATAGAAAAGTGAAACCTTCTTGTAGTTGGTGTTGTACTTTTTAATCACTTTTATGAGATATTTTTAATTATGTTATTTGTTTTGTTTTTTCTGCCACGAAAGTGCTATTGTATTTTATGCTTGGAAATCATGTTTCGTTAATCTTTGGAAATCCTTTAAGAATTGTAATTACCTCTGACCACAGTAATGGTCCCCAATATTCCTCCTTTCACTTTCATCTCAACTTCTTTCACTTTCATCTGAACTTTGTAGTATTTATTTTTAGTTAGACCCATAGTGTTTAGAAACAGTTTTGTAAGTTTATAAGAAAAATAGTAAATTCAGACAACTAAACAAGCTATGTGTTTTTTGTTAGCTCACATCAACAAAGCTAGGGGAACTTATGTAATAACATAAGTGTCCATGTCCCAGGTTAAAATGTTCGAGATTCCTTTCAAAGTATTTCTTTGCCTTATATTAATTAGAGCTGCATGGATGATGCATCTAGGGATGCACACTACTGAACTGGCTTCAGATGCTGAATCTGACCTACATTTTTCTTGAGACAGATGAGTGACCAGGTTAAAGTTTTTGGGGTGGGTCCATTCCCAAGTAACTATAAACTCAATGTGAACCAAACTTCTGTGTGTGATGCATCCAGAGATGCATACTACCAACCTTTCTTTGGATGCTTCATCTGACCTACATTTTCCAGATGATTGACTAGATTAAAGATTAAGGTCTTTTCCCAAGTACAAATAAGCACATTGTTGACTAGGTTGATTCATTCAAGGATGCACACTACAGGACTTGCTTCGTATGCTGAAGCTGACCTACATTTTCCAGATGAGTGTCCAGGTTAAATGTTTGGAGCAGGTCCATTTCAATGTAACCATAATCCCAACTTGGACTGTACCTAGAGATGCACACTACCAGACTTGCTTTGGATGATGAATTTGACCTACATTTTCATCATGAGTGACAATGTTAAAGTGTTTGGAGCAGGTCCATTCTAATGTAACTGCACGTATAAGCCCTACCTGGACCAACTTCTTTGTATGATGCAACTAGTGATGCACACTAACAGACTTGATTTGAATGCTGGATCTGACTTACATTTTCCAGATGAATAACCAGGTTTCAAGTGCCATTCTCAAGTAACTTTAAGCCCAACCTGGACCAAACTTGTGTGTGTCATGTATCTAGGGATGCACACTACCAGAATTGCTTTGGATGCTGGATCCTTTGCTTTGTTGCCTTCTCTCCTGAGGCTTCACATTGTCCCTCCATTGCATTGCCTCAATGGCTGTAAGATTTATTGATTATATGTAGTTGAAGTCCCAGGGGAAATTTTCACAGATATCAAGACATGCTACCTATAGATGGTAATATTTTCTAGGGATGGCAATTTGTAATAGGTTTTTTTTTTTTTTGTATTTAAATTGAAATAAAATATATATACATGCGCAGATCTAGAGGGGGTCTGGACCCCCCTTGGAATTATTAAAAGTATATACTGAAGCAAATAAAAAATGACTTTGGCCCCCCCTAGAAAACATGGACTCCACGATCACTACCAAGAAAATATTTGTTTTTCACGTTTGGGAAATGGATTTTATTTTTTATTTATTTTTTTTTTTTCTTGTCAAGAAATTTTTAGATTTGAATTTTTTTTTTGACTTGGATGGACCCATAGGTTATTGACTTTCACATCTTAATTTTAGTGAGTTTAAGCCAGTGGACACTAAAATACACAGACAAATCTCTTCTTTTTTTTCTTGAAGATAATTGATTCCTCTGTTTAAGATTCTCATACAGTTGAACTTCAGTATCCGGATCGTCGATTTCTCAAATACCATGGAATCGTTATGTCAAATTTAAGTAAGTTGGAAGTCTTTACCACTTTTCTTTGTGTATTTTAACCTCAGTATCCTGAACTCTTGCATACAACAAAGTTTTTTCTCGGTTTATTTAAGTTAAAGATAAGGAGTTTTGACTGTGTGTGTATTCAATAGCATTTTATGATGAAAATTGGTGATAGCAAAGAGTTATTCCCCTTTAGCACATTTCAAAGACATTTATAGATAAGGAGGCTTCATTTTTGCTGAGTGTCTTTCCCCCAATTCATTATTTTTTTTATTTGGGAAATTATTTGTACATGTATATTAAAATCAAATGTCCCGAGTTCCCTGATAATTTTTGCTCATGCTTTTTTTTTCTTTTTCTTTCTTTCTTTTTTTTTTTCTTTTTCTTTTTTTTTTTAACTATCATCATTTATATAATATTTTTTTTCATTTACATAATAGAAACGTAAGAAAACTGCATTCTTATTTGTTTTAAAAAATCTGCCACAAATATTTTGAAGGTAAGTAGCACATCAATATCAAGAAGAATTAATTGATCGGGCTCGTGATACATTTGCATAGCAACGCAATCAACACGAGCGTAAAGAACTAAAGTAAAGAGAACCGTTGAAAATGGACCAGACAAAAAGACCGCTTCTGATTCCTCCTGAATTCTCTACATATGCAGAGGAACATGGCATTTTTGATATGTACAAGGTCTGTATTTTTTTTTATTAAACGCCACAACGTAATTTTAAATTGCAAATTAAGACTGACGTACGAGCACTATAATTTGCTTATTTACATCGAATGAATCAATTTTTTTTACATATTATATTAGTTAACTTTGAAGTATAGAGAATTAAATGATATTTCTTTAAAAAAAAATCAACTACGATATATATTTTTTTTCAATTCAGCTTAATAATTAATTTTATAAAGTAGGCCTATAAACCTCAAACGGGTTTTCGATTACCACACCCGACTTTGTTACATTTTAATAGTAACACTGTGATTCTATATGTATGAACTGATAACATACTCAGTATAAAATATTATTTGCAGAGGCTGATGGAGCAGCTAATAATAGAAAAACCAACAGATCCCCTAGCATTTCTTGTGGAACAGTTGAAAAAAGAGAATGATGATGGTAAATATGCATTTGCTTTAGGTGAAAAATAAGTTTTTAAAAATTCAGTATGTTAAGTATATTTCGATTTGCAGAGTCCTATATGAGATTTACCATATATTGCATAAACATGTAATGAATGTTTATTTTGTATTTTATATTTATTATTAGGAATAACACAGGTTATTGTATAAGAATTAAGTAAATTGAAATAAATGACTAAATTTCTATTTTACAGTACCACAGGTCATTATTCTTGGACCCCCAGCCTCTGGGAAGAAGAGCATCAGCAAACTGTGTGCCAACAAACTCCGCACAGCTCACCTGACCACAGAAAATCTAATTCAGGAATCAGAAACAGAAGTCAAGATGAAGGTCATGGACCTGCTTAAGAAGAAAGAGGTAATAAATTACTAATATTTGTGTATAGTTCATCATTCAAACTGTTGATGCTTGTTCTATTTTAAACTAGAAATTTTGCCACAGATTTGGAATCAGTAGTCAAAGTTGGGCTGGTATCAATCAATATATCAAAATATTGATAATATTGATTCTGTGTGAGGTTGATACTTGTATCCATACATTTATAGAAATGTTGATACAGAAAACAAAATTTCAGACTTATTTATTTCCTTTGTTTTACCTAATGTTTGGGTTTAATATATAATAATTTAATTTTGTTTGTATTCTAGCCTCTGATTGGTTAATATCCAAAAAGGAACACAAATTATTTCCGTATAACCTGGTTTGGTATGGGGACACACCTCCCTGACAACCAGCTGAATCATCTGTATCCATTCAATCCTCTCATTTCCAGTCCTCGGGATTCATGGAAAATTCCAGATTTAATAAATGTACCTTTAACTTCAAACAATAATTCGATCTTACCACATGTAAACAAACAACAAGGCTGCTAGGCCTATGTAACAGTTTTTACCTCCCCTCGCCTCCCATCACTTCCGTTACTTCCGTTACTGCGGTTGTATTATTGAGCAGCAAATTTGAACTAATAAAAAGCAACGAAATTTTACACCCATAGCTATTAAATGATTTTAAAATTAAATTATAAGGAATGACTCTAATTCTTGTCCAAATTATTCGAGTATAACCTGGTTTGGGTCGGTTTACGCTGTTTTATAATTCGCTTCGCGGATTATAAAGCGTAAACTGACCCAAACCAGGTTATACTCGAATAATTTGGCCAAGAATTAGAGTCATTCCTAAAATAAAGAAAGTGTATCATCCCTGCCCTAGTCACTTGAGCAGTCATGGTCTCATTAGCTACCAACGATGCTTCAGATTGCCACTGTAATAACTATCCTTTATGAATCAAAACAGTATGTAAACTATACTTGATTGTTTTTAGCCTGTGCCAACAGAAATTTGGACAAAGATCCTGACTGAGAGACTGAAACTGATGGACTGTGTGAAGAAAGGCTTTGTGTTGGAGGGATTTCCCCAGACCAGAGAACAAGCACAAGCCTTACAGTCAGTGGGAATGCATCCAAAGCATTGTGGTAAGGAGAAAAAATACAGGTGCAAGTACACCAGTTACTTATTTTTATGGCTATGACAAGATGCAAGAACATATGGATCAATTGCATTCTTTTGCAGTAATACTTGATGCACCAGACACAGTCCTGATTGAGAGAGCACAAGGGAGAAGAGTGGATCCAAAAACTGGAGGTAATTCATACTGAACAAGAATGGCTCTGTCTACACTACTAAACTTGTATATCTTTCATCACAAATAAAAAAAAGATAAATAAATGACAGGATATCTTTGCTTGATGCACAATTTGCTTTTTAGATATATACCACACAACATTTGATTGGCCTCCGAATGCTGAGATCCAGACACGACTGGAGGAAACTCCAGGTTACACAGAGGAGGACATGGTCAACAAACTTATAGAATACCATAGACATATTGATGACATCATTGAGTGCTACAAAAAGGTCGTCAAGAAGGTCAATGCTGATCAGCCAAAAGCTGATGTTTTCTCACAAGGTATGTAGTGATGACCAGCTTCCTGGTAAGGTGCAATCTCTGTGTCATAGTTTGATGAACCAAATGTCACTGAATGCCATTTTCTACAATGTGTACCTCTAATGTAGAATGTATGCGCTGTATTTCAAGAAATATAGAGATACAGGAATGTTTCTGAGAAAAAAAAATTCATTTAATTGTTTGCATATAGAGATTTTCAGGAATATTGTGTCATTTTTGTTTTCATTTTCAGTATATTCTTACCTATGTAGTCAGCCTCGATCTAATGCCCCTCACACCCCCAGGATTGTACTGCTGGGACCCACAGGCTCAGGAAAAGGTGTTCAGGCTGCCCTGCTGGCTAACAAGTATAATATTGTCAATGGTAAGAAATCTCACAAGTCAGATTGTAGAGTTTATGACCATTTATAGGGACCAATCTCTACCTACAGAGAAATACAAAGCTTTAATTACATTGACATAGAGTGATTATGTTACTACTGTATGTATATCATAACTCTGTTGTTGCCTTCTTTGCAGTCTCCTCAGGTTCACTAGTTAAGCAGGCTATTGCAGATGAAACAAAGGCAGGACAAGCAGCAAAGGCCTACATTGAGAAATCTATGATGGGTAAGACACTCAAAAAATGTGGATGTAATATTTGGTATTAGTACCACATGTATATTATCTATCCTGCAACCACTGCTTGCATTGATCAAATAGAGGTAACCTAATAAACCAAAGTTATTTTCAGTCAATGCCAAAATATGTAGCCTTGTGCATTCCAACATCTTTAAAGGCATTGTGATATCATCTATTTTGCATTTTTTATGCAATGGCATCATACTTTTAAATGTGCCTAAATTTGTAAATAATAGCTTGTTTTGGAGGTCAAATGTAAAATTATGTAATTGCAGGATAAACAGAATACATGATGACTGTCTTGAAATATGAGCGATATTTGGGTTTGGGTTGAAAATGCAAAGAGGGCTTGGCAAGCTATGTCCTTTATCACATTTTCTTACCCTCGCCCAAATACCAGGTATCTCTTATATATCAGGACATTAACCATGTATTTTATATATGTGGCACACCAAGCATGCATAGTTGTATCCTAGTACACATATCTATGGTTAGTATGTGAAGAATAATTACGGTCCCGCATTGCAGTTGCCCAATAGTTGTCAATCTGTACATCTGTCCGTCCATTTGTTTGTCTGTTTGTCCAACTCACTTGTTCGGAATATATTTTCTCTCGCCTTGGCCCAATCTAGCTTATACTTCACCCATAGAGTGTTTGTGAGTTTAGATTATGCAGTATCCTTGAACCAAGTTTCTATGTCAGAGGTCAAGAAAAGAACAGCGCCCCATTTTACAAAAGAACTTACGACTAAGATCAAAATGTAATTTTGTGAATAACTTTCTTTTTTATATTAATTTTAAAATGGTTTTAATCTTTCTAAAAAGAATTAAGAAAGAAATATTTATCCATGCAATTTTTAACGGAATCTTTTATTTTGTAAGATTTTACAATCAACAAAATGTTTTGGTCTTAGTCGAAAGTTCTTTTGTAAAACAGCTAGGCCCCTGGTCTCTTATTATAAACATCCTTGTTTTGAGTATATTTTCTCTTCCTGTGACATCATCTGGCTCATACCTCACCCACAGAGGCCCATGGGTAAAATTGAAAGTCAAAGATCAAAGTCCAAGTATAGTCCCTTTCGTCCTAATATCCTTCACAAAAAGTGGTCACCATTTCAGTGAAGTCTAATTTAAAGCACAGGGAGTACAATACCATGATTTAGGCGTGTCAGTGGTATATATTGTCAAAGTTCCCTTTTGATCTTATTTGTAGTATTGTTATAAAAATGTTTTAGACGAGACTAGAAACAAGATGGATATAAACTGCTTGTAAATTTATATGAACAAAGCCATTTATAAAATTAAGAAAATGTTTTTCTTTGTTTAATGTCATGTTATTAATAAATCACATCATTTTATCATTATTGGTGTGAATGTAAATACATGTATAAAATGTTTTCTCAAAGGCTTATATGGGAATGAGGTGGTTAAATGTGAGTAAATAGAGTACATTAGGCAATATTCTAATGTGAATAATGCTTTGTCTATTATTTAGAGTTTAAATTGATCTCAGTATCTCTCATCTTAATCTTCTAATCTGACTTTGTTTCAGAGAATGACATATAGTCAATGCATTATAACTGTACTGTCAATCTTGAATTTTTTGTAAATGAGTAATTGTAAGCAATGCACAGATTTGAATGCTTGTAGCATAGAAGTATACATAAGTAAAATAATGCATGATTGATTTACTTAAATGAATGTGAAAAAATTCAATGTGCACATAAATTTAGCAAAATGCAGATAGCCTTCATTTCATATTTTCTTGATTTCATGATCAAGAATCAAGTTCTCCTTCAAGGGAGACAACTCAACTATAGCTGTTAATTTGCTTTATTAATGATACAACTGCCATATATTTAAATAAAACTTTTAACTTTAGTTAATAAATTTCAGCTTCTTATGAAATTGTTAATATTTGATTTTATTATTCCTAAACTCTTGAGTTTAACTTCATGAAAATGTATCATTCTGTTTGCTGATCTTAAAAACCTATGTACTTCCTTCATCCTGTCAAATTTGATTGATTTTTAAATAGATATTAGAATAAAATAGAACTTGTGTTGCTTTTTCTTTGCAGATGAGGACCTTTTATCACCTCAGTGATCCATTTGTCTAAAATTTCTAACACTGTTTAATATCTTCAGCACATATAATTTCAATTTTTTTTGCATCTATGAAACAAGTGAAAAATGTAAAGCAAAGTTATTGCTTTGTTTTCTTAGTGCCAGACAACATTATCCTGGATATTATGAGGGAGCGCCTCTCCCAGCTGGACTGTGTCAGTAGAGGCTGGGTCCTCCATGGTTATCCCCGCACCAGAGAACAGGCGGAGGCTCTAGCTAAAGATGGATTTGTTCCAAATAGGTTAGACGTTATCTAATTCTTTTGGCCACATTGACTGAAAAGTAATTCAAATTGCAAGTTATATTTCTCTAAGATCTTTAATTTTGTGGTTGAATCTTAGAGTATATTTATATTTTTTGTAAACTACCAATAAAGTGATTGCATTGTTTATAGAGTTTTCTTCCTGGATGTTCCAAATGACTCCGTAATTGAGCGATTAACATTACGAGCCACTGATCCAATCACTGGAGAGAGATATCACATGTTATACAATCCTCCACGGACTCAGGAAATCAAAGAGAGGCTAGAGAAACATCCCAAGGATAGCGAAGACGCTGTCCGCCAGAGGCTTGCAGAATATAACGCCTACGTAGAGGAAGTGGCGGATTACTACACGGAGGCGCAGCACGTAAACGCAGACCAAGATCCTCATACAGTGTTTGAATGTATTGAGAGTATGATTGTAAATCCACTGCCAAAGCGATTCTCTACATAATGTGGAACTTTTCCTGTCAGTGTTTATGTATATAAATGACATTTCAGTTACATTACAGATGACTGTTTTATCAACTGTATTAATGTTGGTTATGTTTATGTGACAATTTCCATAATTAAAATATGACATTTTCTTAAAGTATAACATTAAAAAGTTAACATATACATATAGGTGAGTCTTTGTTATCAGATTTTATGTTTTTCATGCAATGTGAATACATTACTTCTTAACTCATGAAGATCATTGATAGGTGAGATTTTGAATAGCTCCCTTTATATTATCAAAATGTTCAACCCTTGCAATAACAATGCATGCTTTGTGAAATACAACTCGAAAAATCATTTGATATAAAGTGAGAATGCCACACAAGACTGACCACTGAAAATTTATTATGATCAACTATTGTATTCATTGAATATGTAACAATGCCATGTAAGGTACAAACACCTCTATACAAACAGATGTATGTATCTGTGTCTTTAGTCTCTTGACATGTCCTTATATACTCTCCTCTAATGGTCGGATCACTATTGACATACAGTAATAACAATAATTCAACCTCCAGTCAGAGGAAGAGATAAAGTCCTAACAAACCTATTTGTGCATGTATTTACAAGTAGTAGATAGCTACAGGCTGGTCTCCGTTATATCAACTATTGCTACCAGTAGCCTACAGATTAAATTGTGGCTTCCAGCCTTCCTATATTTCTTACAGACCTGCTCTAGCTTTGTACAAATCAAAGACCAATCTTCAAAAAGAGAGACTCCCTACTTCCATGCACATACACTTCTGCACAGTTGAATACATATGTATAATCAGTAAGATGCATTCCAAATTAATAAACCTCATTAAACATGAGCAAAAACAAAGGATATCCCAGTATTTATATTTCCTTAACCATTCTTCAGTACTGTCTTCCTCTCATTTCAGTCTGTAGACTAGAATCGGTAAAAGACAAGAACCAAATAAAACATAGTTTTTATTGGTATTCTTCTGTGGCAGTAATGACAATCATGCAAAACAACATGGATGACTTTTACACTGGCATAATTTTCTATTCAGTATTCACATTTACTGGTATCTAACACAATAAGGCATATCTAACAAAGGTCATGCAAAGAATTAACTATATGTGGCATCGCTACATGTACTGTATATACCACACATGCATTTAAGCTGTGATTAAGAAAATGTTTTGCTTTGAGGTATAATTTCCACTCAAAAGTGCTGTGAATTTTTCACACATCTATTGAAAAGATATATAATATTATTTATATCCCTTATGTCAAACACAGGACATATACCAATGAACAGAGCTCATACACTTCTATTTAAAATCATGGTGGTAATTGTTGCTTTTTTATAACAATACTGTAAACAAATATTAAGGATAAAAATCAAGTTGGGCTGATATATACAGTGTATAAATTAATTATGTGCAGAAATCACAATACATCCATCTATTTTCAATGTATCTACAGTACAATAGATGGGCAGAATTTCAAATGTATGAACAGTATCTCTACAAGTTTATATACCAAGTTTTAATAATTTTTGTTTTAATTTGCAAGAAATTGAGCAAACAGAGTATGTTTGTTGAATTTCTAAGTTTAAGCACCATATGTTATTTCAGATACATATACATTGTACAATCTGGTAATTTACCTTTGGCAATCAGCAAATTTAATAATCTACAACCTGTGAATAAACCCTGGATACTGGCAACGACAGGACCTTAATTTTCCAGTTGCCATGACTAGTGAAATTTAATTTATAAACGTATACATCTGTAACAATATTCAAAAAAAAAAATTACAATAATCGGGGGAAAATATTTTCAATTTCTGGTTAAAATTCAATTACATAATGTACTAACATTTTATATATCGATAACACATAATATAATCAAATACATGCACACCAAAATAAATGTATATAATCAAATACTCTTGTTTTGAATAGATACATAAAATTTATTTATCAGTGTTCATAAGACACATAAATTCATATCTGACCTGCATTAACATACAGCATTCAACAAAACTAAAACACATAAATAATATATCGTAAACAATGAATGTACAGTGCAGTTGAAATACATGTACACTTCAGGGCTTTTTCTTCCTTCAGAATTTTTTTTTTATTACATACATCCTGTATCACTTTACTGTAGTGCCTTTCTTTGTCAAAGTTAATATAAACCTAAGATTAATAACAAATTGAGACTACCATTTCTTTTTGTGTTCGTCCATACTAACACCACCTGGTCCATAAGCTACCACAAGCAGGAGTCCACCGACGACAGACAGGGTCTGGAAAAAGTCATACTTGAGGAAATCCCTCATAGGTTTGTAAGCTGGGATATTCCAGAAGGCGTTGAAGTAAACATTGAGAAGGGTTAACCAGACAACAAGAACTAATGCTGATAACTTGGTCTTGTATCCAACAGCTATGAGAATGATAAGTGCAGTGCCCACCAAATTCTGAATGACATGGAAGAAGTCCATTTCAAATCTTAGCAGGGTCAGAAACATCAAAACAAGAAGAATTCGGCCACTCAACTGCATGTACTGTTTGGGATTATTTTCGCCAAGGGAGGGAAGTCCAGCAAATAAACTCTTTCCCTCTGCTCGGTCTTCGGCCAAAAGCAGCAATACACCACCAGCTAATGCCAAATTCCTGCAGGGTAAGATTTATACTTAAACAAAGATCCTTTAGAATACATTGCAAAATGAAATGTCTGAAATTTATCACAGAATTCATCCACAATTTAACACTGCTTTTTAGAATTTGAAGGAAAGACTTTATAGGTTATAAAGTCATTGCTCATTGATAAAAGTTAAAGAATTAAAATCTTTTGAAATTTATTTTACTCTTTGCTCTATGAAAATGATTTAAATAGATACCTTAAAAGAAACTTCACATCCCACAAAATGCTGTAAGCAATTGTCTGAAAAAGAATAAAAACTAAAAATAAGAGCCAATAACCTTCACACATGAAACTAAATGTAGTAGGTTCTCAGTTGTTCATGGGGTGTAGCACCTGGTTATTTCCATACTGTTAAGTGAATATGTAAGTTCCTTACTTTGTGCAAGCAAGTTACTTGTTTTTCTCCAACTTGAGTTTCTTAATCTATTTTAATTGTCAATAGACACAAGGCCTTGCCAATAATGTATTGACAATTAAAAAAGTTCAGGTACAAGAGTTGGAGAAAAACTAGTAACTAACGAGCAAACTCTATGGAACCTTTTCCTCCCATACTTATGATTCCTCAAAAATGTCTGTACATTATTACTGCACAAAACTGTCACTAACCAATATTATGTTGCACATCATTCATAAAAAGTGTTCTGATCTCTAACATGCTAGAGAAACCCCTGAAAATATTGTATGAGTGTGATGAAACTCAAAGTGGTAATGGGTGAAAATATGTTTCATCTTATTTATGAATTGGGATTGTATCATAGTCCATCGGTGTATAAAATTCTTAAATTTGATTTTCATTTAGCTTTACTGGCAAAACACTCAAAACACTAATTAAAATTCTAGTAAAATTAAATGAATCAGTTATTTACTAACCTGTAAAACTATAATTCCAACAAGAACACCACATGCTATTGTAACTTTAAATCTGCTCAGTACCATTACACATCCTCCTAACTGCCCAATCAGATTGACTATTACAAACATGGTGGCTAGGATGTAGCCACATCCCCAGGTGTGGTTCATATAATCCCTCTGCTCTCCCCATTGGTTCCACATTCTCAGCCCATCTTCTAAAAAGGTGCTAATGAGGCAAAACCTGGCTACGTGTGGCAGCACATGCTTACTCTTACGAAGAACCTAAAATATATTTGTACAAAATATCAATACCATATATCTTTTATACATTCAAAATTTATTCCTGACATGACCTATTATGTAAATGACACATTGACCTCATTAAGCAAATTTGTCCTCTCTGGCTTTGAGGCTAGATGAAATGGTTATATCAGTTTAGTTACCTTTTTCTTCTTTTTAGAAAAAAAAACGGTTTATGAATTACTCTCTGTATTCAGGAAACACTACTGTACATGGTACAATTGTACATACATATGATATATTCTTGATACTGTACAAATAAACATACTCAAATTAACCACCAAATTCAGCAGTAAATTTTGTGTGTTCTACTACTTTGGCCTGTTAAATAACACAAACCTAACAAATACTGCACCCTATTATTTACAACTTCTGAATATTGAAAGTGTACGTTTATTGTGACAGACATATAACATGTTTCAGTTTTCCCTACTTGTTCTTCCAGATGCAGACTTCATTTACAAATGAAATTAGCTGTAGAAATGTCAGTTTGTGTTACCTGATCAGCAACATCCTCCGCTCTATCAATCAGTTCATTTCTTTGCGCCATTGTCGAAATATCTTGTTAGTGTGTGTTCTGCTCTCACAGGCCACGTACCCCCATGAGAAACCGGAAATGTGAAAATCTAAAAGTAGGAATCAAACGTTAAAATCTTTAAACTTTCAAAACATGCATGGTTTACTAAAATCAGAAAGTCCATTAAAACTTTCTTTCATTGCATAAAATAAAATAAATAAAAACCCTCCTTACTTCTCTTTTAAGCTGCACAGAACAACAACATTACCATAAATTTCCCGATTTGCCGGTGTTTCTTTCAGGGCGTAACTTCATTTACTAGAAAAGCCGCCACGTTATAAATTTTAGTATCCGAGCCCGATCTATATATTAAAGTTGAGGAAGGATGAGGGAAGCTTAGATATTCCGAATCCGATACCGCTTAAGAAGATTGGAAGAATTTTTAAAAATTTATTATTATTTTCATTGATGAATGAAGTTTCATATGGATTTAATTAAAACCATTATTATTATTTTTTTTTACATAAAATATTACAAGAAATCATAGCTAAATGGGTTTTGTATTACCCTCATTCAATATCAATATTTGGAATCATTTATTACAGTTTTTGGTACGTAAAATCCCATTTAGAATTAATAATGATCGAGGCTTTTTAAAGTAAAGTTAAATTTTCTTAAGGAAGGGGTATAATCCCACATTATATGCGCTCAAAAAATAAATAAATAATATTTAAAAATAGTAATAATAAATAAATATACAGAAGTTTTCGAAACTGCGATTCTTAACAGTTCTTCTTGCTGTTATAAAACCACTGTCGGAACCCACTGGTTTTCTCTCCGTTAGTTACATTACATTATCAACTCTATTCATATCAGAGGAGATGAAAGTCATTAACGGCATCTGGATAAATTCCCGGTAAAAATCTGTATTTTATTTACTGTTAAAAAATTTAGCCACTACCAAAGTTTTCGTTCTTGCCGATATGCAATGACAGTCAAACTTTCCAGAAATCTTGACTATGGAACCCTTTTAAAAGTTTTGTGTCGAACCCAACATATGAAGTTCAGTCGTTGTTTTGTTGAGAAGGGGGAGAGTTAGGCTAAATTAAATTAAATTAAAGTACTAATTAAACAAGGTAAGTAATTAGATATAATAAATCATAGAAAGGATTCCTTAATTGTAACCTGAAGTTCATAGGTCAGCATTTCTCTATTACTATTACAATGACCTTTGAACTTGATCCAAATTTAAAATGTTTAAAGCCATAGGTTAAAATTTAGAGTCCCATCACAGGTGCTCTCATGTTTCTAAGACTCTTCTTTTACAAGTTATTGTTTTTAACTAAGAAGACCGAAGAACTAAGTGTATCCCCTCAAAGTCTTTGCCATTGACTGTCTCACACCACTTTTGGGGGAATTATCAGTGATCACACTTTACTTTTATTGAATTTGCCAGTGTCGAAATCTGACTGACAAGTTTTCTCTGCATGTCTTGAAATATATTCCTAGAATCATTTTTGCTGAAAAGACTTCTTTGATTCATTTTAAATGATAGGCAAAATTTTGCCAAATTATGTGGTAAATTAAAGATAATGTCGTATATTATCGTTACTGCTCTAAGTGCCTGACTTTCAAATGATATGATTCGGTTCACTTGTTTCCAGATTCTGTGAATAAAATACGCCGTAGCTTAATACACTAAAAATAAAAGCATAGAAAGAAAAAAGTAATTAACGCGCCTCATATATATTCAACTCTGTCATTTCTTTTACTTTTATAATTTTTCATGTATATAAAATGTGCTATACACAAAATAATAATATTTAAAAAAAAAATGTTTCAGTGAACGTAATATCTGTCGGGACTTTGAAACATTAAATTAATTAATGCATATGTGACAAAATCTTGCGATTGATAGAAATACAAGTAAGGAGAGAAAAAACAGATGGAAAATAAGTTCTTCTACTTTTTTTAAAATATATAATGATTTGTATCCTCTGACAGTGAAGTCTGCTATATAATTAGACATTTCTTTCGCTCTCTAATCCCAGGTAATATTTAACATTTCCTTTAAAGCAAAACCTTTCTTTCAAGCCAGTCATCATTACAGGTTAATATTTTGAAAAAAAAAAATTCCATGTAAATATTGTATTCATAATCCGGGATATAAAATGTTGTCAGTACTAACTCTTGTCTGTATGCTCATTCAAAATGGCAGCTTCCATAGACTTGAATGTTGCAAAGAAAAATTTACAGGAAAGTTTAGGCGATGAAATGAAACTGTACGTTGTTTTTCTTATGTTTAAAATTGTCTTTATTGAGTAATTTAAAAGACTGGTAATCGGAATATATATATGATATTTAAAAGATATATTTTATTTTACATAGTCAATGGTGATCGAGGAAATGTTTACTAACGTTACTTTGTTTATTCTTATACGAGCAGTAATTTAAAAAGAAAAATTTCATAATTAAACTTGGATACTTGAATGCTGGTTTTACCATCGTAATATTGTATAATATTGTATATTTTTCATTCCACCGAATGTCTTCGACAATAAAATAATTTCAAGAAACATTTGTTAACATCAGTATCATCTCTTACAACTCTATATCAGAAACTGGGTATTTGTCACTTACTCAAATCATCTTAAAACATCTAGGTATCTGAGGCCAAAACTGCAAGAGTCAAAAAAAATGAGGCTGAATGAACTTCGGGTCAAACTGGAAAAAGGCGGAAACAACTTGTTACCTTAAAATAAGAGCATCACTTTGGTCAAATTTATTTACTTAGTTCTTCGATACTAGCTTGAAAATACGGATATATATTTAATTGCTATAGTAAAATTTAGAAATTTATTTCAAAATTAAGGATTATCTTCCTCATGCATAGCTTTGATCCTTCGACGTATTTGGCTCCAGTCTTTGGCACCTTTTTTAAGCTCTTCCAAGTCTTTTTTATTTAAATATTTTGGATTTCCAACGTTTCGGCTTGAGCATCACTGAAGAGACATAATTTGTCGAAATGTGCATCTGGTGCATCAAAATTGGTATCGTATATGATTTACGTCTTAAAGATCTAATAATGATATTTTTTAAAGTTTACTATATGGCTACCTATTATGTAAGACAGTGGAACTGTGAGGGCAAAGACATTAGGGGCAGTTAGCTTTATTGATTCATTAATTCTACACCTTTCAAATATTAAATATGTAATTTCATATTTTATACTACGTAGACAATGACATAACAAATTGCAGTAAACTTCTTGTAGCCTCTGTTTGATGCATCTCATAACATCAATTCCCCTTATTTCTTCACAAGTCTTTTATCTCAGAAAAATTCATAGTTTACTAGGATTAGTTACATTTTGTAATTTTTTGTTAATCTTGTTTAACAACTTCACAAAACTCAGAAGATTCTGAAATTGTCAGAAAATTCTTGGACAATTCCTACAAAATCAGAAAAACCTTAACACATTCTGACAAAATAACTGAAGACATATACAAAGGCATGTTTAACAAGGATGCATATGCCAAGCTTTGTGGTAAGGAGAAGTCAAGATTTTTTTTTTTTTTTGTAAATATTTTCATGTAAGTTGTTGCTAACTCTAGTCACCATGTTGTTTTGTGTACCAAAAGGATTGAGAGTTGTAGAATTTTTTTTCACGAAGGGGCAATCACAATATCTTATAACAATGTGTAGGTTTCAATTAAAATTTCCACCATTGGTACACATTGTTAATAGTGCTTGCTTTCCTTGCTTATACTTTATGGAGGGTAATCGTGTTCAAAAATGCAGACTTGTAAGTTTGTAAATCCAAACTTGTAAGTTTGTAAATCCAAACTTGTAAGTTTGTAAATCCAAACTTGTAATCGTATCAGTTTCATAGTATACATATGTAAGTAGGTAATTCCGACATCCTAGCATGAAGTTCCGAACATACAACTGTGTTGACTTTGAGTTTATACTATGAATGTGTGTATTTTTGATGTTGTAAACTTTGTTTTCTGGAATTTATATTTCCGCACTCTGAATAAAACACAAATACCTGATAAGCATTGATACGGATCTTCATCTACTGAGTGGTTGTTGATTTTTTTTTAATATGATATCATTGCAGTTACATTGGTTCTTAATAAACTGGGGCACTGATCACAGTAGCCTAGTGGTTGGGCGGGCGCTAGCTTTGTAGGCCATTGGAGGGTAAGAGTTCGCTTGTCCTAAGTTCCTAGTGCCGGCAGGCAAAATGTAAAACGTTTAACATACGTGTTGGTAATGACTATTCCTTTGGCATTGAAAGTCAGATTGAATATTTTTCGGTTGAGACCTTAAAAACCGAAGCCCCTCTAGATCCGCACAAGCTGTGAATAAGCGGGTAATGATTCATGTCACATCGTCAAATAAAATAAAATTAAGAAAATTGGAACATATAAACAAAAAGTTAGAATTAAAATTAAATAACAAATTCAAATTAAAATATTAATATAAAATTGGAAGTTAGAATAAAAAAAGAAATAAAATCTAAATAATTTATTTCAGTTGGAAAAAGAAGAAGTTAGAATAAAAAAAGAGAAAAAAATGTGGCACTGATGCCCCTCCATAGTTTCTCATAATCAAAATTTGACAATCATGTAGACTTTACATTTGTAGACTTGTTAATTGTCTTTGTGTTTTATTCAGAGCGCGGAAATATAAATTCCAGAAAACAAAGTTTACAACATCAAAAATACACACATTCATAGTATAAACTCAAAGTCAACACAGTTGTATTTTTGGAACTACATGCTAGGATGTCGGAATTACCTACTTACATATGTATACTATGAAACTGATACGATTACAAGTTTGGATTTACAAACTTACAAGTTTGGATTTACAAACTTACAAGTCTGGATTTTTGAACACGATTACCCTCCATAATACTTGAGCCTCCAAACTCTAATTCCATGCATCCTTTTAGATGGAAGCAGTCTTATTTCACATTCATTTTCCATGTATAAGTACTGTATTTATTTTGACAGGTAGTCTTTGACATTCTGCATTGAGACTCAGATCATGATGCAAACAATATTTTGTTGCTTTGGAAACAAATTAATCTTTTCATTGTTAACATTTTTCATGTCTAGCAAATAAAATATTTGATGAATACATTTGTTGTAAATTGATAGTAATCTTAAAGAAATACTAGTAATTCATTCCACGAGAATGTTGGCCTTAAATGAAGATGCACAGAATGAACACAGTTAAGGGATTGTAATTATACACTGTAGTTTTCAAATCAAAGCACAGAGATTTGGAATCATTCTGTTATTATGTAGAATGTTGCAT